TGCCCCGCAGTTACCATGGTCGCCACCGGGAATAGCGGGGCTGCCGGGGACTGGGGGCCGTTTGTTTGCGTCGTTACTCATGGGGGGATATTTTCCATAGTTGCCACGCTTGGCGAGCGGGTTGGCAACCGCAGTTTTTTGTTATATTAGTGTTGTTATTAGGAAGATGCTGCTGCCCATCTCCTGTCTGTCTCCATCTGTCGCCTCTTACGACACTCATGGGAAGATATGGGGTAGTGGATATTCTCAACCGCCACTCTCGAACGGGTCTTGCTAATAACAACTAAACAGAACTGCGCTTGCCAAGCCTCCTGCCAAGCGTGGCAACTATAGCAAACATTCCCCCTATGAGTCAATCTCTGGGTGTGGCCCGTGTTCAGCAGTGGACTTTTGATAGACTGTAACGGTAACGGTAACTGTTCGAGGATGAATGAGAGATACAACGTTACTGTTTGAATAATAGAACTTTCGCCTTCAAATAAGGTAGTTGACAACTCATGCTATTTTTTTATAGAAGAGGGGCAAACGAGCACGCAGCTCACCTGATGGTAGGTAAGTGACTACCCCCGCCCATGAACAACCGCAACACCAGGGAAATCACAGGTGCGTTGCCGGCCTTTTAGAAAAGAGTAAGCTCTTTTCTTGAAGGTCCCTATGTCGTATCCGTCTGAAAAATCGCCGGTGTAAACAATTCCACAGAGAAGTTGTACGAGAAAGAAAACTCCTAGTAAAACGCATAGTGGTGGACCGCCAAGCATCCAGATGGTGTGGATGGTATCGTGAATTGTGATGCGATGTGCGTTCGTGAAATTTGGCAGCTGGAGTTAATTCGAACAATTCCTTAGAGCACTCCTGCGGTAGATGCAATAGAAAATGCAAAAGGAGGCAACATCCCTACGTGGCGCCATTGAATCGAGCCGAGCCGGGAATCGCATTTTTTTGCTAACTTGCAAATTTTGCTGTATTTTCACTTTGAGACAATATTTATGGATAAATTTACAGGAATTCTTGTTGAATGTATAAACTACACTACTACACTTTTGTTTTTGGAGAAATTTATATGAAAATGTTTGGAAATGTGTATTTTTATGCTTTATGTGTTTCTATTCGTTACCCATACCAAAATATTAAAGAAAAATAAAAAATAATAATAATATTTATCTGTATGACATTTCGAACAATATTTCAAATATATTTTTGTGTGAATTTGAAATAAATACGTCAAGTTATTTGAAATATGTTATAAAACTATTTTTTAGTTACATTTTACACTAAAAATAACACATTTTTGACCCAACCGCCAAAATGGGCCTTCTCGATTTCGAAGCACTTTTGGCACTTACTTTTCACTTTTTATGCCACAAATTATATATCTACGTGTTTACTATATTACAAGGAATACAAAAAAGTATAATACTTTCATTTTTAGTCCAGACACAAATATAAAATTCTATAAAAAAGACGGAGCACCTTCTGCAATGCGACGCGTGGAACGCTGAAAGTTCAGAATGATTTTTTTTTATAAGAAACATTGCCAGGTTATGGTTTAAAATAAAAGAGCATATCTTTGTCTTTTACTATATTATTCATTGCATATTGTCTTTGGTTTTGTTTAAAACAAAAAATATTTTTTCATAGGGCAGTATTTGGTATCAAATTCGATACCGTCCTGAGCCAGCCGATGCATGAGAGATATATGAGAATCAGATATCGAATAAGAGTATGGCCGTGAGCTTACGGGCTAGGTAGACTGTGTGCTCGTTTGTCACATTAATTATTTAATAAAAAAATATCAGATTGCTGTCAAATAATTATTATACATGTTTCATCGAAATTAAAGTTACTGTTTCATCTGTTTGTTCAAAACACAACGAACTGAAGTTTATCATTTTCTATAAAATTACAGCCTATGTACGACCCACTGCTGGGCACAGGCCTTCTCTCATTTTCAATAGCTTTTATCTAATTAAGAAAGGCAATAAAATATTAATATAATCAACGATACCATTTTTTCTGTAAAATTGGACAGTAGTTACAAGCATAGGTCAGGAGCGAGACAGGTACCTTTCGTTTTCATATTAAAGAACAAAATAACAATAATATTTAATCTACAAGAGCATATTGCAATAAAACACAACGCCGTACAAAACAAATCGTTTAATTATTATAAAAAAATAGTCAACTTTTTATTATTTTTAGATCAAACTCGTTAAAATATACCGGTACTATACGCTCCTTATAAAACAAAGTCATGACAATTATACAAAAATTTTATTTTATAATTCCCTTAACGCTTAAATGATATACATTAAATAAAATTATTTGATAATATATTTGAAATTCTTGGTGTTTAAACATTTAGAAGTATTAAAATAATTATTTAAAACAATGGTATTATATCTGTAAAAACATAGTAGTCAAAGCATAATTATGTAAATACGTAAGATTACGTAGTTTTAAAACTTGGAGTGAACAACGTTAATTTAGCATTACTACAATCGGAAATATTACGAAGATTTTTTTTATTTCCGAACAAACTGTACATGATTTTTTATACAATAACATAAAATAAGAGCTCGTAGCAAAGACTAGTATGCTAGACAGGCAATGTAAAACTGCAAATACATATTTATACGTGGTAGAGCCACGCTGCAGCTGTATTACCTATAGTTGTAGCACTAATGGTTCGGCTCGACCGGGGTAGACCCACGCTATCACAAAATACCAGCGTAAAATAGCAGCTTAAGGCTGCTGTGTTTCGTATGGTGAGTGTAGAGAACCGGAAACCATTTTTACTGAAAAGGAAGCATTCCATCTTAGTCCTCAGAGGTGATAACGGGGTGATAACATTTTAATTCTTCATTGAGTTTATCATTAGGTTGACTATGTGCTCGTTTATCACCCTCATTCTATAAAATAAAACTGAAAAATCACGTTGACAAAGTGCGCACGTGAATAATGACAGCGTTTTCTTAGTCACATTAAACAAAATCAGTGTTGGATTGTCGGAAACAATGTTCGCGGTTTACAAAACAAAACAACTAGTCTTCCCGTACTTAAGCCACATAGCCCATCTAGAAATACACATAGAAGTTTGGATTATTTTCGAGCCAGTAGTATCTCAGTAGGTGCTTAACGCTCACCCTTTATTTGATAATGTGCAAGCAACTAGTTCAATCCCCGTCGGATCGGAGTATGTTAATTGAAAATTTTACGTGCTCATTCCCACAATACTACGAGTATGAAAATATCGTCCTAAATATCGTCCCAATAACTAAAATTTGGAGACCTTATGAAGTCCGAATACCCGCATTGAGGAAAACCGACAGACTTTCTTAACTTTACTTTTTTTTACTTTTTTTTTACTTTTTCTTAACTTTTTTAACTTCTTCACAAACTCTCAGAATTGAGTCTTCCGTCTACCGTTACATGCATATAAAATGAGTAGATTTCCTCCGATTTCCTTTTGCGAAACTAAATATATCATAAAATAAAATAAAATAAAATGTACAGCCTATACACGTCCCACAGCTAGACACAGGCCTCCTATAATTTCTGAGGGCTTTAGGACAAGGAAATGTCCGCCGCGCTCCCCCAAAAAACCTTCACATGTCTGCGTAATATCTTTTATCTTATTTCTCAGACATGCAGGTTTCCTTACGATGTTTTCCTTCACCGCCGAGCACGTGGTAAACAGCACTTAAAATTGCAATTAACAATTTCATTGGTGCCGGCGGGGTTCGAGCCCGGGATGCTTGCGTACCATCTGAGCCACCACGGCTCTATCATAAAATATTATATTATTATTATCATGAAATAATTTGTAGATTATTGAAATATTGGATGGGAAATAAAAGATATTTCGTTGTTCTATATACACAAAATAAAACATTTTCTTAAAATCCTATACTGTACAATATATTATGGCCTAAGTACACAGAATTGTTTCCTACACTAAGGATCGTCTTTATATGGGTAAGGCCGTAGATTTTGCCACTTTTTTCATAGTCAAGAATAGTTCTCTAATTTTGTACGCCTAGTTTGTTATGTTTTTCAGGTGACATATTTTTATCTTGTGGCATTATGCCTCACAACACTGTTTTAGTTTATAATTTAACTACAATGGGTGTAATTTTATTTTAAAACGAATTTAAATGTATAGATGACATAAAAGTTTCATATAAAAAGTTATTGTCCATAAAGTGTGATACGAAAACAATGGACTATATTACAGACTTTGTAATCAGTTATACATAAATTCTTAAACGTATAGAAACTACATTGTTAGAGCTACTTAATTCAGTGTAACATTGACTTCAAGCGCCATTTGTTTATTCCTTATCCTAGTTTTAAAACTTGTCAATTCAGTTCAATTTTAACACTTTTATGTTACTTTTTTATGTTACCAGTTTTGAGAGTAATACAGTCTTTAACATAAGAATGGGGTAATTGTAATAATTTAAGTTGGTAACACCAAACAGCCACTTTAGAAAAAAAATAACAAGCGCCATTTTGTTGTCTTTGGATTGTGTCAAAAAGCGCACGTGTGAATTTCGTCACCTAAAATAAAAAGTGTTTTCTGCGATTTTGGGAGGTAAGTAGACATTTGTTCATGTTCGAAATACTATCCACGTGTGCGCCAAAGCTAACATTGATCGAGAAAGCATGTTTTGGCATGAAAATCTGTTTTTTTTCATATTATAACCTCATCAATCGAATATTATGTTACTTTTACGTTGCTTTTATGATACTTTTATGTTGCCGGTAACATAAGTTTATATGTGACGTAACGTAAGTAATTGTAAAGTCTAGTTTACATCGCTAATCTTATAAAAATGAAAAAAAAATCTGCACCATCGCCTAAAAGTGCTTGTGAATACATGAAAATAATTAAGGATTTATCAAGATAAGATTTATGGAGTAATATGGCGTGGTAGCATCCATAATGAAATTTCCCGTTTTCGAGTTTATTAAAAAGTTTATATTTTACTTGTTTAAAGATGCCACTAACGCCGGCGGAAAAGCAAAAAAATTACAGGGAAAAGCTTAAAGCTAATAATCCAGAAAAATATGAGGAGATAAAAAAGAAAGCTGCAGAAAATGCTTTGAGGTATTATAGAAATAAAAGAGTTAATTACAAAGGAGACCAAAAAGAAGAACAAAGACGAAAATGGAAAGAAGATAGAAAAAAGCCAAAGAACAATTGCCAGCAACCTTGCAGCAAGACTACCGACAAAGAATCCGTAGATTTGCGTAATATTCAACGTCGTATTGAATACAAATTTCAGCAAGAAAATATGAGATTACTAAAAGATTTATTTAATTTGTCAAAAAGGTTTAATAATCTGCAAAATCTTCTTTACAGACACCAAAAACAAATTGATGAAACGAACGAAAATTTAAAAAATGTTCTGATTAGACTTAAACAACTAGAAAATAGTAAAACATCGACTGAGAGTGAAGAAGCCAGTATGATGAGACAAAATACAGCTGAGTACACTCCAAGGAAGAGAGTTGAAGAACTTATTAGTGAAAACATTCCTCATATTGAAACACCAAAGAAAGAAGTTATTAAACAAAAACTACTGGAGCATGATGTTTTGACAGAAGCACTTAAGTTAGAAATGAAAAGTTCAAATCAAGCTGAAAAAAGAACATTCAAAAAAGTTTTGAAAAATGATTTGGTCGAGAAATACAGACAAAAAACAAAATTAACGCTGTCCTTGGGTTTTAAAGGCAGTTTAAAAAAATACACCAGGCTCAAATTCGTAAGGCTATTATGTTACAAAATAAAATAGAGGATTTTTTTACATAGAGACGACGTATCTCGTGCGACTGCCGGTAAGAAGGAGTATAGAACATACAAAAAAGTGACTCGTCAAATAAGATATCAACTGGATAAACTGAAAATTCTCCACCAAAAGTACACGGCTGAGGTGGAAAAAATTAGTTTTAGTACTTTTAAAAATAGAGACCGTTTTACGTCTTACCTCTTAAAATAAGGAACTGTGACACATGTGCCTGTGTGAAGCACTCAACTATGCAATTTTTGGTGGATGCATTGAAGTCACGGGGATTCATCCAGGAGAAAGAAAGCTTAAATGACATCACTTCAGACTTTGTTTGTGATTTCAAGTCTAAAGAATGCATGTTGGGAGAATGCCATATTTGGGCAGATAGAAAACTATTCGGTTGTGATGATCAGGAAGAAATAGAAGTTACATGGTTTGAGTGGGCTATGAAAGAGCATGCATATGGTCAGGGTGATAAAATTAAACAAATAAAAAAAATGATGAAAACTACTAAAGAGGGTACACTGAAAGATTTACTAAACACATTTAATACAGAAATGACGAAATTTAAAATACATGCATATAATTTTTATCATCAGTTTAATAAATACAAGGATTGCAAAGAAAACTTAAAAAACAATGAAGCAATAATAGATATCGATTTTTCCGAAAATTTCATATGTAAATATCATAAGGAAGTCCAAGCCATGCATTTCATTAAAGACCAGATAACATTACACACAGGTGTTTTATACGTTACTAATGAAAGACCCATATCTTTTTGTTCGATATCTCCCAACAATGAACACTGTCCAGAAGCCATATGGGCACACCTAGACCCCATACTTAAATATATTAAAGCGGGTTACTCAAACGTTAGCATCTTACTTTTTTTCTGACGGGCCGACTACTCAGTATCGGCAAAAAAAGAACTTTTATCTTTTTAGCAAAAATATTTACGAATATGGATTTGAAAGCGGAATTCGGTCCTTCTTAAATCGGCCCATGGAAAAGGAGCAGCAGATGGCATTGGTGGGGCCATCAAACGTAAGCTTGATGCGAAAATAGCCCAAGGAATTGATATTCCCAATGCTGAAACTGCTTTTAATATACTGAACATGTCGGATACTGAAATTAAAATATTTTTCATTCCAATGGATAATATTAAAACCCTTAGATCATTAACATACTTCCTATACCAGGAACGATGAAAATCCACCAATTAAAGACAAACAGTGTTTTAAAAGTTAAATACAGAAACCTAAGTTGTTTTTGCAATGATTTAAACGGTATGTGTGGATGTTATTCTCCTATGATACATGAATTTAAGACAACTGGACCAGACACGAGCAAAACACAGACTAAAGGCAAAAAACGGAAGACAAGTGAAAAAGAAAACGTGGACTATCGTGAAAAAACAAAAAGGACAAGAACATATCGAAAAGTAAGTTCATCGTCCGAAAATAGTACGGACATGGATATTGAGTATGCTGATAGTGAGGTAACATGTTATATGCAAGAAGATACTTTAGATAATGATGAAGATAATTTGGATAATGTTGATGACGACCTCATTGAAAGAAAAGAAGATAACGCAGAACAAGCAAATACGTTCGATTTAGATGAAAAAACTGGATTTTTAAATCAAAGGATAGATCCCAATAAAAAAATCAATATTTTGTCCACGAAAATCATCATGAAAGCAAAAAGTGAAATAATGATCAAAGCAATGACGCAGATATAATTAAAAAAGGGATGGAATCTAAAGAAAGTGAAAATAAAACCAAAGACGACAAAATAAAGCCAAAGTAGACAGGAAAAGAGCCAAGGAAGAGAGAAATAAAGCAGAAGATAAAAGTAAAGTTGGATACAGAAACAAGAAAGCGACCCACGTAAATGTAAATGTGATGAAACAACATATTCCTGAAAATAATTATGTGACAATTCTGTCTCAAATTAGGAACGCTCCGGAAAACATTGCTAGTTATGACTTAGGAGAGAGAAACTTATTTTTTTGGAAAAAGAGGCACAATAACTGAATTAAAAAGTATATACAGTGATACAAATAATACTGAAAATAGAGAAAATAATGAAACTGATTTTACAAAAAACGACATGAAGAATATTTTGAAGAATAAAAGTGGCAACAAAGAATTGAATATAGCTCAAAAAGAAGAAATAGAGAAAAGGATAAATACAGAAGAAGATGAGACTGGTGAAAATATTCAGATTGAAGAAAGAGAAGAATATGAGATTAGGGAAATTATGCAGAATCAAGAAAGAGAAGACGAAAGTGGAGAAAATATGCAGACTGACTTTTTTTGTAACATAAATGACACAATTATAGTTAGATATTATCTAAGAAAAACATGGAAACATTATATAGGAGTTGTTGAGAGTATAGAATTCAAGGACGGATTAAATTACTATCAAGTAAAATAGGTATTTGAGGATAAAATACCGGTTTTTCGGTATTTCGAAATAAGTGATCTATTTTTGCAAGGTTGTTTAAAGACTACAGAACGCTCGATTTCTATTATTCATAGTGTTGTTCATACTGCTGATGAGTTTTCATATGACATGAATCACGAATAATCTCGACTATAGAAAAATAAACTCAAAATCAACTACGCAAGACAGTGCATGCATATCGTCGCTTATCTTACTCACAAACATATCTGTTTTTAACTTGAACTGACACCAAATGATAACCAAGTTTATCTAAATCTCTGGTGGAAGCTCTAAGAAAGCGCGTATAGGAAAGACGACAACCTATGACTGCAATTTTACGGCATCTTCATAACCCGGAAGCATATTTCAAAGAAAATGCAGAGACACGCCGAGATAACCATCCAGAATTTTCTAGAATGAGTTGTGATGAAATTATTACATCAATTACTGACCTTATTCAACGACTGCAAGAACAGACTCTCAACTCTTTACAAAACAGGAGTGCGATGAGCTCACCTGATTCCAGTTATGCTTCTGGTGAAAAGGAAACAAGTAATGATGACGCAGGTACTAGTAGCAGTACTTCATCTGTAATGGGGAAAGATCTTAATAAAGCAATAGAAAAATCTATGACCAAAAAGCAAAACAGATCCCAGATTTGCGAGGAAGAAGGAGATAACATTCAAACATTAATTTGAATTGAAATAACATTGTATGAAAATGGATGTACAAGAGGCAGGTTTTCGGACGCAACTTACAATTACGTCTTAAGTATTCCTCCCAAGAGTGTTGAATCAGAAAGTGTCTTCAGCTGCAAGTTACATTTGTAAAAAAATAAGATCATCGCTCAACGACGCCAGTTTGGAGGCGTTGTGTTATCTTCGTTCGATTTTTCAACAAACGCGATTTGCCTGATTAAAGGACTTGAATACTTGAGTTAAATTAAGCCTGCGCCTACATTTTGATTTATTTTAGAACAATTACTTTCGATACTTTCATTTGCAATGTGATTTTGTTTTAACAATAGCTCATATTCGTAGTTTGAACTGTGACTAATATTTGAAATTGTTAAATGTTTTCTTATCACTAGAGAGTAAGACTGATTTTATTACCGATTGTGATATTTGTGCCAATGAAACAATATAAAAACAATTGTTGGATCAAATAACGTCTTTTCTTTTTTATTCTAAATTATTTATTTTATCTCAGTTTGTGGAATCTAGAGAGTTGATAAATATTTTCAGTGTTTCTGCTATACAGCGTAGAAAACTGCTTTAATTGCTCTCCACAAACAAGACTTACCAATCGTTATTGGAATCATTTAAAGTTATTAGTAGTATTTAAAAAAATACCGAAATTACGGTATACCGGTTTTTGTAATTTCAATACTGGTATCAATATCGGTATGTAAATCATTCCGGTATTCCATGCCCTAGTTAAGGCTACTTGTATAACTTTATGTTCTCGAGCCACTGTAGATTTTTTTTGCAATTATAGCAAATAGAAAACTTGGTAAAATATTTTTAGAATCAAACATAGAAACATTACATTACATTAGTACATTTCACTTTACTTTGGTCGTCAGTTTCTCTAAAATAACTTTAAATAGTAGATCTCCTGCCATTCATTTTATCATATAATTATCAATTTTCACTAAGAATAACACAAATTGGTTAGGAACCGAGTTGATCCTGCTGAATAATGTTCGGCCGAATATTAGATTCGGTAAAGGTTTTACCGAACTTTCGGCCGATTATTCGTATTCGGTGAAATCCATGTTCGGCCCATCTCTACTAATTAGTAGTCAACTACTTCTATAACTCAGTTTGAAGAGCAATGAAGTCTTTCATCTCAGTCCTCCAAAGTCTACTTTGTTTAAATTTGTTGTAGGTGTGCATAGGATATTGTAAAAAGTTTAACACAAGTCTCCATGCAGCATGCTAGCAAATAGGAGAAAATTTTTAAAATACAATAAACATTTCTAAATAAGTCTGAACTGTATTAGTCGGCACAGTGGCCGAATCATAAGGAACTATTTGCATTCATTTATTAGTAAAATCTAGAGAAGTCTGAAACCTTTACGCAAGCCAAATGGCATAAAAAGTAGTAAATTATTAATTATTGTTTATACATTAGTTATAATTTTGTTACATTTAAATTGTTACAAATTAAATGTTTTTTGTTTTAAGTTGCGTACAAATTAAACAATAAATATGATCATACGTTTCGGTCTACCCTCACTATTAAGTTTTCATTTGGTGACTTGTCTTAATTTCTTTTAAATAAATTATTGAATCTTAATGATTTCTTACATCCACGCGAATACTTGAAAGAAAATAAAACTAAGTTCACGGATTTTATTTGGTTATAAAATTAAATTAAAATTATTCAAAGCTAAAGGTAGCCCGAGCTAACTATTCTCACCCGTGATCCTATGGATGCTATCAATTACTCGAAATGTCGGGAATTAAAATAACATTAGTTTTATTCAAAATATTGAATCGATTTAATGATAACTTAATTAGATATTTATTGTGTTTACGCGTAGATAAACGCGACGCCATAAAATCATTAATTATTTGTTCTCTAGTTATAAAAGACGCCGTCAAATATATACGCTGAAATGATTTCAAAAACATTGGTGTCTCATTCTTAGAAACCTCAAAAGTTAAAAGTTATCGAAACAGGTTTACAAAAAATCAATATCGTCTTTATAAGGATCTTAAAAATAAGAATCCTTGGTCATCCATTTATAAAATTCTATAGCTAGCGATTACTTCTGAATGTTCTTATGACTATCCAGTCTCTTGTATGTCGATGACAGGAAGTTGTCATTAAAGGTGGTCCGGTGGGTCCAACGAGCTACAGCGACACGAGCACGAGCTTACTGGACACTCCGAGTGTTCGCTGTAAAGACATTTGTTTGAAGTCAAATAGCGTAAAATAGCAGCTTAATACTACTGTGTTTCGTAAGGTGAATGTAGAGAATAGGAGATCCTTTTTGCCGGAAACGAGGCATTCTATCATAGTCCTCAGGGCTGACAACGCATCTTCTGCATTTTGATGTTTACTCGAAGATAGATGTAAATATCTTTTGTAGGTTGTCTATAAAAGTCCACTGTTGAAGAAAGGCTTCCGCCATAGATTGCCTCATAGGAGGGATTTTGCCAAAGTTGCCACGCTTGGCTGTCGGGTTGGCAAACGCAGTATTTTAATTATTTTGAGTTGTTATCAGGATAATGCTGCTGCCATTTCCTGTTTATAGTTTCCTACTGTCGCGTCTAACGACCAGGGTTGGCAATGTTTAAAACATTTGTTTAAAACAAGTGTTTAAAACACTGTTTAAAACACTGGAAAAAATACATACCTGTTTAAAACACGTTTTAAAACATTTTGTTTTAAACACGTTTAAAACATATATAAAAAAACGTTAAGTTTTACAACATTATAATTAATCCTAACTATTTTTTTTTGTACTTTTTAAAACTTTTTATTGGCAACATTATAATTTAAGGTGTATTGTAAATTGTGATGGCAATTCTAGCTGGCGGCTGACGGGGATTACCCCAGCAGACTACAATGAGCGAACGAGTAAGGTATTTTTCTGCTCTGAGTAAATGGGAAAGGGATGAAGATAGTTCGCTCCGCTTGTATTGTACTGCGGTATTTTTCTTATTGTCATTGTAGATTATTCAGTGATATTGTAATGACTAGTGAGTGATAGATAATTTGATTGAGTTTCGTTCGTTTAGTATTTATTTGTTTGATTTATTATCAATCTGGAATACTCTGGATCTGCATTCTGCCTGCCTGCCCTTCCAAAAGAAAGAATGTCTACAAGACGAAAAAAGGATTCGCTTTGGCAGTACTTCAGACAACTGCCTGCATCTACAACAGGGGGTGGTGCAAAAACACTCAGGGCGAAGTGCAAGTATTGCGGGAAAGACTTGGTAGGGTTAATCGTATAAATAATAATAATTTTTATTTATACACTTTTTGGCTTTATTTTGAAATGTACCATTAAACACTTGCAAATAAATCCTTATTCAAATTTAATCTTCCTGAAATTTATTTTTTACCTAAATACCTAGTTAGTTACACGTTTTGTGTGTAAATATATATATATATATATATATATATATATATATATATATATATATATATATATATATAATATTGTACACAGTTTTTTTTTCACAGACAGTGAGGCAGATGGAATCCAGACCAATGTTGAGCCTATTAGCAAAAATCGAGGCAGGACTCATCAGCGTCGTCAAGTCGCTCAATAATGTCGATGTCACAATATGTTGTGAAAACATCAGAACAGGAAAAGCATAAAATAGATTCAGAAGTTGCCAGATACTTTTATGCAACGAACACTGCATTCCGACACTCTGAGCATCCAGAATTTGTCAGTTTGATGCAATTAGCTCGAAGACTATGTACCACCTAAAAGAAAAAAATTGGCGGAAATTTGCTAGACGAAGTGTATGGTACCGTAAAATCAAATATGGAAAACAATTTGAAAGGAAAAGTGGTTTATATGGCACTGGATGGTTGGAGTAATATACGCAATGAACCTATTGTGTGTGTTAGTGTAACCACTACTGAGGATGATGGTAAAGTTTTTCTCACAGATACAATAGATACTACTGACAAAAGTCACACTGTCAGGTCATACTGAGTTGATTATTTATTAATTTTTTGTTGAAGAAATAAGTACTGTTTTTGTTCTGGTGTATTGTTTTACAATAAAAAACTTCTTTCATATTTTATCGTTTCTTTTAATTTCTACCTTCCCCTTATTTATCCCAATCGCAAAACAACTCATTTTTTAAGTCTTAAAAAATGTTTTAAACATGTTTTTAAACGTGTTTAAAACATGTTTAAAACATTTCAAATAAAACATTTATGAAAAATTGATTTAAAACGTGTTTTTTTTGTTTTTTGATTTAAACATGATGTTTTGTTCTTTTTAAAAAAAACTGTTTTTTTTTCCAACCCTGCTAACGACACGCACAGGACGATATGAGTAGTGGATATTGTTGTACCGTAACTTCACGATGAACTATCCCATAATAAGATATCCCTTGATATTTCTATATTATCAGAGTGAAAATTGAACAATAGTAAACGTAAGTACATTTTACGAGGGCGGGTCTACAAGTTCGCGGAATGGAGGGGTTGAGAGGGAAATGGGAGCTTTTTAACTGGCACAACTTAGTGACTCAATACAACTATAAATACCAAGTTTCAACCAGATCGGTTTATTAACCTTTGACATATCACAGGATAAACAAGTCCATCGGGAAGTGAACATTAACTATGGCGAAAATTATGTTCCGTGCCATGATTAAGTTAAGGAAAAATGCCATATATCATTATGGAAGAGATGTCATTTTCGGGTACTCTTGCCTTGGAAATTCGATGATTTATAAGCGGCACAGCCTTTTCAAGCAAGGCAGAGACTCAATTGAAGAGATCAGCGCTCAGGCCGATCAATTGAGGCAACTTCTTCGAACATTGTGAAAAAAATAAAAAAAACTTGTTCTTGAAGATGCTCATCTGAAGAATAAACAGATCTAAGAAATGACTGGAGTAACATCTAAGACCGTTTTAAACATTTTCCATAACCATCTTGGCACATCTATTGTCAGTGCAAGATGGGTGCCAAAAATGCTCACACTGCTTCAGAAACAACAGCGGGTCCAGAATTCGCGCGAGTTTTTGGACCTGTTAGTGAGTACAGGAACGAAATCATGAACCGAATTGTGACTTGGGATGAAACTTGGGTTTATGACCATGAACCTGAGTCAAATCGAGAATCCATGCAGGAGCATAAACCTAACCTAACCGCCTAATAACTTCAAGGTATCACAATCGGCCGGAAAGACTATGTCTTCAGTTGTTTGGGATTCACAGGGGATTTTATTGATCAATTACAAAGATAATGGTGTCAATATCACGGGACAGTACTACGCTACGCTACTAGAAAAATTAAAAGATGCCATTAAAGAAAAAAGAAAGGGACAGTGGCTTCCAGGTGTGCTCCTTATGCACGACAACGCATCCGTTCACAAGTCATGTTGCGACGGCTTCCTTACACAAGTGCAGCTTCGAAACTTTAAACCACTTGCCTTATAGTCCAGATTAGGCCCCTTTGGATTATTAAGTGTTCCCAAATATAAAAAGAGAGTTTCGGGGAAAGAAATTTACAGATAACAAGAAGTGAAGTCGGAAATTTCTGCTTATTTTTGAGGGCCTTGACAAAAGACGAATTTTTTCGAATGTATAAATAAGTTATTTGAACGGTGTGAGGATTGTATTAGGGTTAATGGAGAATATGTCAAAAAAAGAAAAATTATTTTATGTTTAATTTCACCCTTCTCCTTTTTGTAAACTTTTTGACATCCCTTCGCATAAGTCTTGCAGTGTTCCCCTTGTTAAATCTCTCACTACAACGAGAATGAATTTGATAGTAAAAACATCACACTTATATCACTACTTATTTGTTTGTTTTTTTTTTACCTTAGGAAGGCAACAGGAGTGACCCGTCATCCCACTACTAGAAAAAAGTTAAAATATTTTGTTGGTGTTATTTTTGTCTCTTTCTAATGCTCGATCTATTTCTCCAATCGGAGTGAATGCAATCAGTTACATACGCCAACGTGTCACAGTAAGTTGTTATTTTTGTTATATTGACATTGGTGGGGTGACTCATTACCCTTGTTGCTTCTTACGTAAGTTTAATTTTTTTGTGATACTGAAATAAATATTTGGTTTCTGAGGTGAAAATGGCTTCGATTTCGGATGAACAGTATCGAAACTATTTGCAGGTTTGTAACTTTGTATGTGGAGTCGATACTTTCAACAAAATAGTGTATACGTATAGTTTCGCTAGCAATACCAGACGTAGGCCGCTTCGATAATTCTATGGTATGCTGGATCAGGCTGTGTCATAGTGCAGAACTAAACATTATAACACTCCTGTCAACATGTTCCGAAGCAGTTGTTTAAATAAATTAGGTTTACAATTGGCATAACCACACATGAGGGAAAATCGTTTGAGTACAAATTTGATAGAATTAGGAGTCACTTTATGTGATATTCGAAATATGACTCAGGACCCTCCTGAAGGTAAGCCCCGTGCCAAGTTGCAGAAACAAGCAAGATATGCACGGTGTCCAAGAAAACGGGACAAAAATTTAAAAACTTGGCAAAAATACCTTCAACCCGCTTGCTCTGAACATCGCGAAGATATTTGCTTGTCTGCATTTAATGCAAAAAAAAAAACAAATTATCGGTGCTGTAATAAACACTATTTTCATACTCCTAATTATATTAGCGATTGATTTCATAATAAAGAACTTTGGTTCTCTCAAACATTGCAGTTTAATTTGAATTAAAAAATATGGGGTGATACGTCACCCCTGTTGCCATTTGTGTATGCAAAAAGTGTGGCCTGCCGAAAGTTAAGTTATTTGTCTTCATTTAAAAATAAAATTAGGAGTTTTGTAACCCGTAGTTGAAGGATTTAAATTTTAATAAATTTTTTTTGAAATTTTATAAATAAAAAAGATCTGTAAGGAATCTACTAACTTACCTAAACCACTGAAGCAAGTGCGCGGCATGGCCTCCGTGCCTGCACGCCACGCACCAACTGAACCAGCCGCCGAAGTGCGCGCCGCCCGCCCCCACTCCCGAGGCTCCTCCCACGCCACTGCCAGAACTCAAGCCCACCACTCCCACGCCTACACCACCGGTAGCACCAGTGCCCAGGTGCAGCAAACACACGCCGCAACGGGGCAATGGTTTGCGGCAGTTAGGACACGATGAAATTTGCTGTAAGTGATTTTTGCTATTAAAATCTAACGTTTACTTCTCAAACAAGTAGCGTACGGGCATTTTTACTATTAATCTGAAGTGACAAATCAATATTTACAGTTCACTTGGTAGAAAGTTGCCACTGCTGTCTACGGACACCTGCGGCCAACATCAAGCAAAGAAAACTACAGATACGTTGTCGCCTCTGAGGACTAAGAGATAATGCCCCACAGCCTGTTATTATTTTCAACCGAAACACAGAAGTGCAAGCTGCTATTTGGCAGCAGAAGTAGGCGGGAACCATACTAGTAACATCTTGTTTTATGTACAGTTTAGATCCTAACTCCGGTCCTTCGAGCATGTTCTTCACAATTATTGTGATATGTCACTGGGTTTCTTTCTGCGGTAGCAAAATTTGACTGATTTGAGAAAATCGTACATAACAAGAGAATTGAAAAAAATGCCCAGGTCATGACATAACTTCACACAGTTGTACTGTCTGTCCACCTACTAATGAGCGGAGAAACGAAAATATGTAAACTTTGTGCTAGATCTGGTACTAAAATTTTGAGTCCCCTGTAGCTCAGTAATATAAAACGGTTTGGTCGTGGCGTCGCGAGTTAGAATCCCAAATGGGGAAAATTGTTTGTATGACTTACAAATAACCGTTTTGTATTTGGATGTGTATCCTTCCGCAATTTACCACGGACTTGTCGCAGTATCTGCAGGCGACATTGTATTGTGTGGTGAGTGCTGCAGTGCGATCCGCACATGTACGTACCTTCATCTTGGCGGCGGGCGGCGGGAGGCGCGCGAGGGCGGGGCGCGCGCGCGCGCTGGCGGCGGGCGCGGCCACGGACTTGCCGCAGTAGCTGCAGGCCACGCCCACGCGCCGCGCCGCCGCCTCCTCGCCCGCACCTGCACCCGCGCCCGCCCACACGCACGTGTCCAGCGCGCACCGCGCCCACCACAGCCGCCAGCTGTCCAGTAGTGTGCGGTAGCTGCACCACACCGACAAACACTTTATATGAAATAAGCCGATTAAAGAAGTAACGGAGAATTGAGTGTAATTTAGTGCACAATGTATTCAACCCCTTCCCCCGGACCTACGACGAGTAGACGTTTGCAAGTTCACGTTACTTTTTTTTAATTAATAAATTACAATTCAAAATCAGTGCAAGAAAATAAGACCGGGTAAATCGTGAAGAGCAACTTTGTCACCACGCCGCATTGACTATCGTGTGCGTGGGCGCCTCCTACTACAGTGTGTGTATACCTGCTGCATTTGGGTGCGTAGCATATTTTTTGTCCAATGCGATCCTGGTACCGATAACGCTGCTGACGTTGCTTTTTCGCTAGGATCTGTTTCACATTAGTACTACAAGTAGATAAAAGTAGTGTTACGGCCCTCAGTTACCCCGACAAAAGTCGACTGGACTAGGGCCCATAGTAATCCAACTCGACGAGCAACAGAGGGGAGGGCCTAAAAGGCCTATGGATAATTAATTTATAACGGCTGCTATAATCAAAAACAAACTTACCGAGCTCCGGACGTGGTGTCGACCACAAGGCACTCTCAGGGGTAAGTAAATGGTATATGTGTGTGGTGTAGGAAAGTGTTTAATGTAATCTGACGTCACCAATGTAATCTTTAAGCAGAACCGCATGCGTTGCCACGCTCCACAAAGCGCAATCACTCCAGAGGGCGCCCGCCGCTATCAGAACTAAAGTCCAACGGCACGTAGCACAAACTATAATCTAGCGCGATCTTTTCCCGGGTCACAAAGTTTAGCGTTCCACACGGCAAAACAAAATTCCTTCGTACACTTTAAATAATTTATTTTAACTTTAATTAACTACACAAGCCACTCGTCGACGCAAATTAATAGCCATCGAAGTTAAAATAATCATTCAAAACTCAAAAAAGACCTCGTTATCACGTATGTTAACGACAAAATGCAACACCATGGAGGCCGTCGATATGAGACGCGGCAAATCTTATCAATACTCGCGACTTCTAATCGACACGGCTCGCTCATTAAGATCGAATGTTCTAGGCTAATCTCGCAACCCCCACCGGCACGGCCTCAGTGCTCCAAGATTCCTGCCGACCGCGCTCGCTGCCAGCGCCGTATGCCCATAGCAAGCGCCCCTCTCCCGCGCAACGCTAACCGGTTCCCCGCTCGAGACGCGCGTCTTGCACGCTTCAAATGCCACAACTTGGCGTAAACAAGTAGTAAATTAAAAGACCAACGAGTCAATTATACCTTTGCGACCTCTAGACCTCGCTGCCTCGTGGGTCCAGTGGTCGTAAACGCAAATGCTAATCATGAGGTTCCGGGATCGCATCCCAATTCGCGGTCGGACCATTATTGGGTATTTCTGTTAAGAAATTCTCAGCAGCAGCCCGGGGCTAGGAAATGGGCGGTGTTTCACCTCCGTGCCTTGAAAAGCACGTGAAACCGTTGGTCCTGCGCCTGATATCTCAACGGTCGAACTACCGACCCACCAAACTACGAAAGTGAGGGAATAGAGAGTAGTGTGTGAGAGCGTGGTCCTTCCCCGGTCGAGCCGACCCATTCGTGCTACAACTATACTACTAATATAGCCGCAGCATGGCTTTACTACTACCCACCCACGCACGGACACACGCACGCTCGTATACACGTACGTTCTTGTAATTTCAAAAATCAATATTTAGATATGAAAGAGCGGGGAATCCTGATAAAAGTATACATCATGCTTAAACATTTTGGTCCACAATATGTAATTGTAATGAAAACAATCGCCATTGCTAAAGGAATTTTGGGATAACAGAAGATAGTACAAGTCTATGGGCCACAGCACTCACTTACTAATAAATTCTCAGTAGTATGTAAATAAATGTAACTAAAACTTTCACACCAATATCTATCATAATTACATCTTTAATAATTGTAGTGTACATTATAAAAAGCGCAGAGCATTATTAAAGTAACTCAAATACGTTCTTACATATGTCATATTATCACTTACTTTAATTATGTACATCTATAAACTTGGCTCTTTCTATTGTTATTTAGTGAAAAGAGAGAAATAGACTTTAATTTTTCTTAAAATTGCCGTCGATTTTATAAATAAGGCCAGTAATGTACAGCTATATTATCGTAGTAGCTAGTTCGAGTATATGTTCTAAAAAGTAAACATGCAAACTCACGTGTGCTTTAATCATCGCGCGTTTGACAGTTGAATTAACGATCACAGTTGAGACGTATAGCACTTTTGACGCTACTGTCCGACGCCAGTCGGAGTATTTTACGTCTAACGTCGAAATAGAATAATTTCCTTAGTCGCACTCATGCGACACCCACGGTACAATATGGGTGTTGAATTGTTTTTCCTGATACATCACCACATTGCAATTTATCACTTAATAATATGCCATCAAAAACATAACTTGTAAAAATAGTCTCGTAACTCAGTTCTTCTACCTAAAAAGTTGTAAGATCCATGTAATACCAAGTCGGTTAATTTATTCAGTCCCTAGTTAAGGGTCCTTCTGTTTTAAGTTATTACGTAATTAGCTAAACTAACAGCATCTTATAGTGACCATATCAATTTTAAAAATCATATATGTTTTAAATATATAGATTGACTTGGCTATTCGGCCAAAATTGGGATACTCTTCCAAACGATTCGAAGCCCAGTTAGCCATCAGACGGCGTCGTCTATGATCATGAACTTTGTGCTGCTGGGTCAGTTGGATCTTGTACGGGTGTAGGCTTACGTCCCGACGAAATCTTTTTCTTTCTATTTATCGAACCGGTCGTTTCAAATTTGGCCACCATACGTTGAAGAACCGACTGTGAAGGGCCACCACGTCTAACGTAAAATGAGCGCAATGTGCGCAACTTTGCAGTAATAAACACTCTTTTTAATAATAATGATTTATCATTTTAACGTGCTGTTCAAGTGTGTAACTTGCCATGGTAATTTGTCATAAGTAACTGAATAATAAACAAAAAATTTGATAGATGTCACCAAAACAAAAAGGCCGCCACGGGCCGCCAAAATCTACCCTCTCCAAGAGAAAACCTTTTACAACAAACATTTTATTTTTATCTTAATTGAACTTTAGAAGGAACGATAGGCAGTTGTTTACTTCCCCATAAATTTAATCTGAATTAGAATATAATAAGAGCTTTAGTAATAAATAAATATTTCATCAACAAAATATTCTGAAATTTAAGACCAAAAAAGAAATATAGACTGAGTGCTGTGTTCCTTTCAACTAACTGTTCAACTTATTGTAAGTACTGATGGATTCATATGGACTTAAAATAAAAGAGGTTGTGTGCGTTTGTGCGTGTCAGAAAGTTGAGAATAATACATGAAATGTAGTATTTTTTTTATTGGTCTGAGTATGAAATGTAATTGAGTTTACGGCGGTCTAATAATTATAAGTACGACTACTGAATATTACGTTCAAATAACGGGTTCAAATAATGGTACGGGCTAAAATAATTTACCGGGTTTTTATTATTAAAAAATTGTCAGTGATAGTCCGGAATTTGGAGGTCGGCGGAGTTTCACTTCCGTACCTTGAAAAGCACGTAAAACCGTTGGTCCTGCACCTGATATTTCATCGGTCGTGTTGGACTATGAGAGTAATAGAGAGTGCATGTGTGCTTGCGCATTACACTCGGGTGTTATCTTGGCTGCGAAGATGACTACTGGTCTACGTCGAGACTGGGCGCCGTGACTAAAATTCAGGCTGAGGACATTATTAGACAAAGGCATGCAAAGGCTGACCTCTCGAGCCAGTTGAGCACGCGCGGATCCCGCAGCAGGTCCGGCGGTGCGCAGCGAGCCGCCACCAGCGCGGCGGACTGCACGTCGCCGCCGCACTCCACCCAGCGCTGCAGCAGCGACACGCCCTCCGTGCTCACTCCTGCACCCGCAACACGTCACCACGTTGCACACAACACCGACGTGACTATGTGCTAAAATACGTAGCATGACTATTCACACATACACAAATTCACATCAGTAGCTACGTGCCAAAACTGCAGTGAGACCTCAGCTACAAACGCAACAACTACCGCTACCGGAACCATTACAGTTTATTTATATATAGCCATCACACGGTAAGCACCCACACAACAACAATATTCTTACAAAGACTTCTACGTTTACTACTAGACCTGCAATTCAGAACAAAACCCGTTTTTTTAGTCACATTTAACAAAATTTGTTAACGCTATAAAAAAGTATTAGATAGTCGATAACAACGTCCGCGATTAAAAAAAAACAAAGAACAAGTGATCTCGGCCGCTCGCAGTCGACTAAAGAAGACCGTAGCTCAGTGCGCAATGTACTAGTACCGTAATGCCCGTCTTAACGCATAGTAGTATGAACTGTGAAGTAGCAATATAAGAATATCCAATACCCCATAACGTGCAGTGGATATCGTAAGAGGCGACAGAGAGAAAGTGAAAGATAAGCACCAGCTCAGATGCTGAAGAGATGAGCACCAGCGTCTTTCTAATACCAATTAAAAAGCCTGCGGTCGTCAACCCCCCTGCCTAGCGCGGCAACTGTGACAAATAACCCTCCAATGAGGTAATCAATGGGGGAAGCCCATGTTCAACAGTGGACTTTGATAACCTTTAACAGTAACGGTTAGGTATTTCCTACACTCGTAAAAAATAAAAGTTAATAGTTACGTACTGGACTGGAAATCGTTTGCCCACTGGATTCACTCCACAACTGGGTTTTGTTTCGTAATTATTATCTGGGGTTTATATAAAGTATTCTCATCTAGTTGGGACTGAATAAATATATAAAAACATATAATAAATAAATATACATAAACATATATTAATTATACCAACATAAATAATAAATAACAAATAAAAGCTCAGCCAGATGGAAGCCCTCGGCAGGGGAGACCATGTTGGTCTTAATAACCCGATCCTGTATAGCACAGATAAAGCCATAGAATACTATAATACACAATAGAATGGCTGTCAACCTTACTTTGTAGGAGGATTAGCGTCGCAGGAGCACACATACAAGCAATTACGTCGTATTATCAGTTATCACTACTACAAACAAATTTTAGACTTACACACATTTTTGATTAATGTTTTTGACACATAAATTTTTCTTTATTTCCATTTCTAATATTCACAAAATATAAATAGTTTCGACTTATGGTTGTAGAATATGTCTCCTTTATGTAAATTCCATTTCCCGCTGTTTTTTCGACACGTAATTATTGCACAATTAGCCCTTTTTTAAATAATTTGCATTTAGCGACGCTTGAAACGAAAATTGGAAACGATTGATTGTGTTGACATTTAAACGTGTGAATTGATGTGTTAGTGACATGTTAGTGGCTACACGGGCTCCGCCCGCTTCGACGTTCTATTATGTATGTATTATAGTATTCTATGGATAAAACCCACGGTTTCCCCTAAGAGGTCACCGAAACGTAGCCAGTGAAGGGAGGCGACCGCATCAACGAAATGCTCAGATAGAGCCTCATAAAACCTCCCATGGAGCTCCATCTCCTTTCATATGGTCTCACGGTCGGAAATGCTCTGTAATACCGGGTCTTGCAATTGGATGTTGGCTAGGGATAGAGGGGTAAGCCCTTTATAACAAGAAATAACGTCCTTATAGAATTGATCATCCGATCTCGTCAGGAAGTAATTATGGAGGCTGCATACTTTGTTAGGGGAACACGCTAAAAAAGCCACGCCCACCATGCTTCCGCGGCAAGTACAAGCTCATTACTGAAGATCGCGGATGGTGCATCCTATGAGACGTCATAACAGTGCAGACTTTTCTATCCAGAGTGTTGTGGATGGTATCGCGAGTTTTATCGCGATGCACGGTGGTGAAATTGTGCGGTTGGAATTAGTCCGAACAATTCCTCAGAACACTCCCCGTGGTAAATGCATTAAAAGACACAAAGAGATGCACAATCTCTTCGCAGTGCTAGTGGGTCAAGCCGGTCAAAAAGAGCTCGGTCGCCGACGATTCGAACTGCTCTGCGCTGGATGCGATCAAATGAAAAGAATTGGCACTGGCAGCCCAGCGATGGGAACGGTATTCTATATGCAGCCGAATCTGCACCTTGTAAAGTTGCAGGCTGTGTGCCGGCATGAAATACTGTCCCGCTCTACTGAGCACGTCAGGATTTTTAGAGGCCAATCTTGCCTTGTCTTCCAAGTGACCACAAAACTCACTCGTAACTCGATATGTCGACGCCGAGGATTCCTATATCATTTCCGACACAAAATGACACAAATCACAATCTCTCGGGAAGCCTATAGGAAGGAAACTTCGTAAGAAGCGCTTTGTGTCAAACCCTATCGAAGGCCTTCGCTATGTCCAAACTAACGGCCAACGCTTCCCTTTTAGACTCTACTGCAACCACCCGTTTACGAGTAAGGTAATCCAGAAGATCACCAGCTGATCGACCCCGATGGAAACCGTACTGGCGGTCACTAATCAGCTTGTGATCCCTAAGGTACCTCATCAGCTGGCAGTTTCCATATTTTGGACAACCAGGTGATAGCGATAGGCCTGTTGTAGGACGGATCCGAGCGGTGACCTTTTTTAGGGATCGGGTGCACTAAAGCTGTCTGCCATGAGTTCCCATGAGACGCGTTAAAACCGGTACCAACTCAGGACTCACACGTCTTCAGCACAATAGGAGGGACGCCATCAGGCCCACTCGACTTGTTGACGTCCAGGGAGAGGAGTGCTTTGCGGACCAAGCGCTGGGTGAACAGCACATACTGCATGGAACACTCACACTGCGGGATGGTCGGCGGTGTGTTCGCCCCGTCATCAAGAGTCGAGTTGGACGCAAAGAGAGAGCCCACCAGATCGGCTTTGTCCTTTGCGCCATAGGCCAGTGAGTCGTCCTCCCTTTGCAGAGATGGGAGAGATGGTTGACAGAATTTCCCTTGGACAGTCTTGACGAGAGACTAAAATGCACGTGTTCCCCAAGGAAGTCAAACAAGTTTCTTGCCAAACCTGCCGATGTGCTCTGATTTTGCCTTGGCAATAACACTTTTGAAGGACCTGGAGGCGGAATTATGCTTCTTTTAAGAACGATGGTATTGTATCCCGAGACGTCGATGTGTCAGCCCAGGCTCGGTAGTAGTGCTGCTTTTGCAGGTGCAACCAAACCATGGCTGGGTGCTGTCTTCGATAGGTATTAAAGATAATGGAATAAAACGTGCCATTCCCTGTAGCACCACATCAGCGACAGAATCAGCAACAACGCTGGGATCATCCGGCAAGAAGCAAACCCACCCCCAAGGGTAGTATGCAAAAAAAGATCGCATCCCATCCCAATCGGCTGACCTATAGTGGCAAACGTGGTCCTCCACTGCTGGCCGTATGAGAACGCTCAAGGTCGCTCAGCGAGCTATGGAGAGGGCTATGCTCGGAGTTTCTCTGCGTGATAGACTCAGAAATGAGGATATCCGCAGTAAAACCAGAGTGACTGACATAGCCCAACGGATTAGTAAGCTGAAGTGGCAATGGGCCGGCCATATAGCTCGAAGAACCGATAACCGATCGGGAAGAAAGGTTCTCGAGTCGCAGCCTCGTACTGGTAGGCGTAGTGTAGGGCGACCCCCCACTAGATGGAGTGACGACCTGGTAAGATATGCAGGAAGTCGATGGATGCAGGTGGCTCAGGACTGTGTTTTGTGGCATTACTTGGAGGAGGCCTATGTTCAGCAGTGGACTTGTGAAGGACTGTAATGATGATGATGATGATGATAGTGGCAAACATGGCGGCAACCTGCAAAACGCATCTGCGATGGGAGCACGGTGTACGGTGCCATTCACGGCACCGTACTCCGGATCAGACAATGTTCCGAAGAGTCAAGAGGAGAATCAATGGAGACCTGATATACGTCCGGATGAAATATCAGCAAAAGGTCCAACAGGGAAGGTACATGACCTTCCACATCTGGGATACGCGTAGGCGAGGTAACCAGTTGTGTCAGACCATATGCCAAAGCAAAGTCATAAACAGAGGGAACCAAGCCATACAGCATGGTGGGTTATAAAATCACCAAGCATGACTATCCCTGCGAATGGGATCCGTTGTAGCACGGAGTCTGCAGCCATTTGAACGTAGTGGATGAGTCCATCTGTGTCAGCATTACCGCTATGGGATCTATAGAGGCTCCCGTAGACGCAGGTATGGTCGTCGCTTTCTACGCGCAGCCATAAGATGAAACGGTACTTCACGCTGGTCTTCTGTGAGATCGTGGTACCACTCGTTTTGAGCCGGCCCATACTTGCAACAGCAAAAGTTGCCTCGTGGCTCTACCACTGTTAAATATAACATTGTGTAAACTAAAATAAAATATTAATATTTAAGACATCGACTTATGATGTAATACGACGAAACCAAACGTTAAATGTCAAAACGAAGCGGGAAAAAAACGATTCTCACTAGAGTTACACAATCGCACTGCACGTCGGTCACAAAAAATTTATATCTTGGATAATATAAATGCAATGCTTACATAATAAAATAAAAATTGTTTATTAGCTTTATGATCCGTCTCCAGTTATAATTCTTGCAATTTACGATGTAGATAGTCCACGCCACCACTGGATGACCTACGGCAAAAACTGGAACTTAATTCGAAAGTTCCGCTATTTTGACTCAATAGTTGTCGTTGGTTAGAACAGCTTGTGGAAAGTCGTGTCGTTGTGTTTTTAATTGTTTTGAGTGAAATATGAGCAATATCGAAACGCAGTGTTGAAAAGTGCAGCCCGTGAATTAATCCTTAAAGTAAAAGAATTTTGTGAATCGCAAAAAAAAAGAGCTGTTAATCCCCCTAAACAATGTTCAGCTGAGAGTCGCCGCCATGACTGCAAATAATATTTGGAGTTGCCACGGCGGCTCGTCGAGTTGGCAAATGTTCTTCAAAAAATTGTTGCAACCGAAATAAAATATTTTGGATGATTTTGACTTATGTGTTATTCGTCAAAAAATCAATTATTTTCTACGTGGTTAAGGAGTTGCCAACGGTAAACAAGCTTCGTTTGGAACTAAAAGAGGGTATACATTTTCAAGGAAGTAATACAATTCTACGAATAATATTAAAAAGATTAGGCTTCCGATTCAAACACTGTCATTCCAAAAGCAAGGCATTGATGGAGGCTATGACATTACGGAATGGCGAGCCATATACATTGTAAAGGTGGGTCTACACTAGAGGAGCCGAGCACGAGTTGAGCATACAACAATCGCACTGTGAGCGCGATGCAAATCCCTTTGTGTTCGTCAAAAAACCGACAATAGATGGAGCACAATCGAGCACGAACCAAACGCTCGAAGCGCGCTCGTTCGAGGCTTGTAAGTCGGTCCACACTACATGAATTTGTGCTCGGCTCATACTCCGCTCGTGCCCGGCTCCTATAGCGTAAACTCACCTTAAGAATTAGAAAATATTGATTGGAAAAGAGACATATCATGTTAAGAAATGTTGGCAAAGTGCAGATGAAGATGGACTCTTGATATCGGATTCAGCCGAAAAAAGATATATTATTGCGCATGCTGGCTCAGAAATCAGGTTTGTGCCCAACGAGTTGTTGATTTTTAGTTCCCAAACGCATCTGATCTGCAGATCTGCAGATTATCATGACAATATGAATGCAAATTTTTTTTAAAGTGGATGACTGAAAAAGTAATAACTAATGTAACTGAAAAATCTTTAGTAGTAATGGACAACGCACCTTACCACTGCACACAGATTGACAAATCTCCAACAATATCAAACCCAAAGTTTCAGTTGAAGAGTATAGTTGAGAAAAAATATTTACTTTGAAGAAAGCTGGACTAAACCAGTTTTATGTGATTTAGTTTAAAAAAACCACCAGTGACCGAATCGATGAATTTCTAAGACAACACAACCATGAAATTTTAAGATTGTGCTTCCTTATCATTGCGACCTATATACCCTATACAAAAAATTTGGAGTCTTGCATAAAAAAACCGTTGCAGAAAAAAACGATCCGAAGCAAATAATTGAAATAACAGAAGCTGCTTTTGTCAGCATCACCGAAGAATACTGGCGGATTAAATGCGAGAACGTAAAACGTATAGAAGAGAAATATTTTAGAAATTGGCTAATAGATATAGAAATGGGGAGATTTATTATATCCACAGAAAGCGACAGCGACACCGAATACGACCGATAGTGATTTTATAGAAACGAGCGATAGTGACTGTGATATGTCTGGAGTTAAACCTCTATTTTAAGACAAACATAACTATTGCAAAAAAATGGTCATATGTTACCCTGACATAGACGATATAAATATAGACTAGATGTAGACTGGCCAAACTAGCAATTCCTATAGTCAACCAAATCTAAGAAATACCTTTTGACGTTTCACATTAATCATTCAGCAATAACTTTGCACAAGCGTACTCACACGATTTAAAATAACCTTTTACGTAAATCCAAAGAATTATGAAGTTATCTATATTTCTTTACAACGTGTATAGTTTTTTATCACTAATTTAAATTTAAATTTTGCAAACAAAGCAAAATCATAAAAAATAACCACTATCAATTTTTTTACTTGACGTCATATCAATGATATGTCGCTATGTACATTACCGTAGTGCTTGGATGATTAAAATTCATTGTTATGCGAATAATCGGCAAAAATATTCAAATAATCGGTTAAAATATTCAAATAATCGAATTATTAATTTTCTTGAATGTATTATTTGTTTTTATTTTATTTTTAAAATTCCATTTACTTGAATCATAAATAAAACAAGTTTATTTTTTTTAAATTTGTCAACATAAATTTGTGTAGGCAAAAAAAACCCATATCCAAGGCCGCGCTGAAAAAACCACCACGTAATTTCAATCTCCCGCCATTTTGGGAGTTTACTGTCCGTAATTTTTTGATTTTGTGTTTGTTTTCTTATTTTGTGACCCGGCTTTAACTTTTTGGACCGTTTCTTCTATATTCGTTGACCTTGGCAATTTATATACTGGACTCTGACTAAGCAAGTGATCATAATGTCGAAAAGAGGACGTAGTTGTGGTAGTCGTACTTTAAACAGTCAAGCTCGTGCATTGGTGGTGAAATTACACGAATATTTTGAACGTGAGTCACAAAACGGTGGGCCTCTTTTACCAGTGACACAAGTGCTGGATCGTGTCGGTGAAGCACTCAGGATTGGCAACGCACCGTTGCAAAGACCGTCACTGAAAAGTACGGACCTTCAGGCAGTGAGAATAATTTACTTCACACGCTGAAAAAACGAAAAAAGAACAAACCAGTAACAGGTATCGATCAATTCGACGCAGATGCAATTAGAAAACATGTCTACGGCTATTTCATAAGAGGCTAATATCCTACTGTGGCGAAGTTGCAAGTAAGTTTTATTAAACAATCTAAAAAAAATCTATTGATGCCGGTTTGTTCAGTGGTAGTATAGGTCATTGAAAACCATTTTAAAACGCATAGGCTTTCGATACAAATAACTTAACAAACGCAAAATAATTATGGAGAGACGTGACATAGTCTTGCAAAGAATAACATTTTTAAGAGAAATGAAAAATATAAACGATTTGGACAAACGTCATATTTCTTGATGAAACGTGGTTAAACGCCAACCACAATATAGCGCAAATATGGACAGTTGACACTACAGGAACTTGCTCGAAGGTGCCCGCGGGGAAAGGTGGGCGCCTCATAGTTTGCCATACGGGATCAGGCGGAGGATTTGTACAAAATTGTTTATTATCCTTCCAGTCAAAGAGTACAAGAGATTACCATGAGGAAATGGACGCAGAAAAATTCAAAGAGTGGTTTATAACCCTTTTACGAAATATTCCTGCGAATAGCAGCATAATAATGGACAACGCCCCGTACCATTCTGTCCAAATCGACAAAGCCCCAACCCAAGCGAATAAGAAAGCAGATTTAATAGCGTGGCTGCAACACAAAGGTGTGGAAGCGGACATGAAGTTATTGAAAGCTGAGCTAATACAATTAGTAAAGCAAAATAAACCACGTAAACCTTTATATGTTATTGATAAATTAGCAGAAGAGCACGGGCATAAAGTTATAAGATTACCACCATACCACTGCCAATATAATGCTATTGAATTGATTTGGGCCCAAATCAAAGGCTAGTTCTTACATGAAAAGTGCAAACATATTAACTTTACTTAAACACACACAAAATGAAAATATCTTATGCTTTTTCTACAGACTACGTAGCACGACACAACACCAAGCCACATTTCACGACGAAGAAGATGAAAGGTTTGCTCAAGGAAGCATGTACCCATGTCACAAAGGATGACTGGGCAAAAGTGGTAGAAAAAAACAAAAAACATGATTATGGATGACTTTAAAAGAGACATTAATTTTGATTGCATTATTGAAAATCAAATAATAATTAATCTTAACAACGACAGCTCAACTAGTAGTAGTGAAAGTGATTAAATAAATTTATTTTTAATCTAGTTTCATTTTTATTTTTTATGACTTTTCCTCTAGAAATAAGCAGTTACAACAAATACGAAGAAAACGATAAATCTTTTGTTTTAAATTATACGTTTCTAATTTATTCTGGTATTATTTAAACCTAACTGTGAATGATTACCAACTCTAAATAATCGATATCGATTTTTTAAGAATCGATTATTGAACATTCTCATTTTTTTTTGGTTGGCATGCTTGGTGCAATAAATCTGACAGCTGTCAAAAGGTATTTCTTAGATTTGGTTGACTATAACTTAAATAGCAGACTTACGGAACGCCTCCTAAATTTCAATCCACCTCGCATGTGTTTAGTAATTAACGTCCTGACCGGTAATGGCACTTTCAACAACACCAGGAATACCAAACTTAGGAGTAACAGGCAACCCCTATGCAGAGTATGCATTGTGGCCGTAGAGAATAACACGCACATACTCCTAGAATATGAAGTACACGCGGACATTAGATTTAAGACAATTGGTACTGTACCGCTACTCCACTCCGCTCGTGACCACGGTTGGTGCAAGTCAACCGAAACGTCGAAGTAAATATTAAAAATAATATTACCCATACGCATTCTTGACCCGTTGTTTAATAACGAATTCAAATCGTGAGTTTAATAAGTACGAAGAATATACCTTGGTAATGTAAAACAAAATAACAATAAAAACGATATAAATAGAGATTATTTTGTTGCTTCTAAATTATTTTCTCTTTTATTCATATCCATACAAATTTTCACATTTATAAATCTTTTTTACATTTTTTTAACTTTACCAAGTGGACAATGAGTTAAAACTTAACATTTCACTGGCGACATTTAGCTATCTCTATGATAGCAGCGCCGCGTCTATTGGACTTCAGTGGTGGCGTGGACTTTATTGGCATACGATATTATGCGTGCGGTCGCTAACCATACCCGCTTTTGGACTTACGCACATTTTAACAAGTATACAGATACGTGTTTATTTCAAGAACTCTATTTTTAATGTTAAAATGCACTAGGATCCTTTCTATTCATTTTATATGTGTTGTTATTCTGAAATAAAGAACATTTTTTAAAGAATTCATAATTTTACTTTTATGAAAATTAAAATTTTTGCTTACTTTAATATGTCTTAATTAGTGTAGTAATTTCGTCTTAAATAGTGCTTAATTTAATAAGCCTTTTTATTTCATTAAACTAGTTTTTATACTTTGCAAGATTTTAAAATTTTAGTCATTACTCTCATTTAATGCTCGCAAATGGAGTTGAATACACAGCTAAATATACTATTACCACTTATTTATTTAATGTATTTCAATGTAACAATTGTACAAACCCGTTAGCAACATTCCTGACAAATCGCCCTGTTCCATGAGCGTGTCACACGTCTGCTTTACGTACTCGTGGAGCTTCGTGTCCGACAGGTAGATGCAAGCGAACGCGACACGATCCTCTAGTCGCATCTCTGTCTCATTCTGAAAAGCGAAGCGTTTTTAAAGATTTGTACACCTAAATATCTACATCTGCCTTATTCATAAGTCGTTTTAAGAAATGCTGAAGTTGCTCTCTCCCTATTCAATAAGTGGCAATAGAAAGAGACGAGTATATATAAAAAAGGTTATGAGTAAGGCATAATATGTTTCAGCGTGGCGCGCAGTAGTTAGGTCGAGTGAGTGTGTGTATTGTTGTCGTGTTGTCGTTTTGTCACACTCACTAACACGGCGGCAAGGTCTGCATGCGTCGGCGCGGCCACGGCGGCCAGGAAGTGCACCGTGGCGCGCAGGTAGGTTAGGTCGAGTGAGTGTGTGTATTGTTGTCGTGTTGTCGTTATGTCACACTCACTAACACGGCGGCGAGGTCTGGGTGCGGCGGCGCCGCCACGGCAGCCAGGAAGTGCAGCGTGGCGAGCAGGTAGTTTAGATCGAGTGAGTGTAAGTGTGTATTGTTGTCGTGTTGTCATTATGTCACACTCACTGGCACAGCTGCGAGGTCTGGGTGCGGCGGCGCCGCCTCGCCGGCCAGAAAGTGCAGCGTGGCGAGCAGGTAGTTTAGATCGAGTGAGTATGAGTGTGTGTATTGTTGTCGTGTTGTCGTTATGCCACACTCACTGACACGGCGGCGAGGTCTGGGTGCGGCGGCGCAGCCACGCCGGCCAGGAAGTGCAGAGTTCCGCACAAGTAGGTTAGGTCGAGTGAGTGTGAGTGTGTGTATTCTTATCGTGTTGTCGTTATGTCACACTCACTAGCACGGCGGCGAGGTCTGAGTGCGGCGGCGCAGCCACGGCGGCCAGGAAGTGCAGCGTAGCGCGCAGGTACGCATCAGGCAGCGCGGGCGCGGCAGCCGCCAGCGCCTCGTGCCACAGCCGCTCGTCCGCGCCTGGACCCGCCAGCGCTGCCACACCACAGTACTCATTCCTTATTCACATACGCGGTTCACCTTCACCACATAATATAACTAACTTATATCACAATTCACATCCTCAGTACAATCTTGCCCCCTGATACTACATACTTCTTATTTCACATTTCACATCCCCGATACAACCCCGCCCGCTATGGTATATCATACTACTTATTTCATATTTCACATTCACGGTACAATGCTACTCGCAATGGTTTATCATACTACTTATTTCACATATTACATCCAAGATACAACCTTGCCCGCAATGGTATATCATACGTCCTATTTTATATTTGACATCCACGATACAACCCTAACCAAAATGGTATATTATAAATAGGTAAAGAACCAAGCTCTAATAAAATAGCCGCTAAAAAACCGGAGATTCTTTTACTCTGGAAACGAGGCATTCTATCTTAGGCCTTACGGGTGACAACGCATTCTGAAAGAGTCATTCCATCGTAATTCTCAAAGGCGACAAAGAGTTTGTATTTTAAATTGTAATGGGAGATAAATGAAGATGTCTATGGATCACACTCATCCACTTACGTGTTTGTTTGTCACCCTTATTCTATTAAAAAAATTTTTGGCCAAAGGTCACGTAGCCAGTGGTCCGATAAATAAAGAAAAAATAACTAATGCGTGTGTCATACCGAGCGCAGCGACGCGTAGTCGCGGCTCGCGCGCGCGCGCCAGAACGTCGAGAGCGGCGCGCGCGCGCAAGTGGAATGCCGCGATGGCGGCGGCGCGGCACGGCGTACCCTCCGCCTCCGCGCGCTCCACGCCCACACCCGCGTTCTCCCAGCCCCAGCCCCAGCCGCAAAGCTGCAGCGCGCACTGCCTCTCCGCGCTCCTGCACCACCACATACCACCCCCACACATCAACTACTGCAGCGACCAAGACCAAACACTTCTATGTATACTACTAGACGGCCACTTATCACAGTGCCCATTTTTAGTATATAGTTCCTCGCTCGCCCGCGTTCTCACAGCTGCACCGCGCACTGCCGCTCCTGCATCACCCCATATATAAATCGCGAAAAAAAAACACACACCAGTACTCACACACACATTATACAGCGCTCACGAGAACAAATATAGATTAGGGAATAAGGATTTAGTATATATAAATACCTATATTACTAAAAAAAGTATGCCCACTTTCCATACATTGATTGAAATGTCACTTGAATCGTTGCGTCGCATTCGACACGTCTACCTACAACTACTGTTGCATAAAATCAATCATTGTTTATAATAACATAATAACTTATCACGTTTTCATTTAGAGGCCAGGGAAAAATGGTTTACAGTAAATAAATTTTTAAGGTTAATAACAGGTGTCAAATAAGGTCCGACAGCTGTCACAACCGCAAAAACTATACGATAATTAAAATCAAATTGTTTCTAAATCGCTGAGAGAGTTACAAATACTCAGAAATAAATCCCTCTTCGATGTAATATCATCATCAAAAAAGCGATTGGTTATTTTGAACATTCGTAAACCATATGACGAATTAACAAGTTTTTCGTAGTCTATGGAACGAAACGCGTAAAACAAGTTTTTTTGTTAAAAAAAATATTTTGGCGTGGCTTTTGGGCCTTTGAGTATTTGTAAAACGCGTCCCGTCTGTAAAAGTCTATTGAGAATGATAAACAGAGTAACATTACTTTTTTTCCTGGCTTTATTGGAAAAGTCAATTATGCGACACGAAATAAGCAAAAAAGGCAATTTTATAAGATATTTTCAATCATTAGACGCGTTAGAAAATTTTCAGGTCAAGACTGTACAATGATTCTTTTAAGATCTAAATAAATGTTAAGCACCACGATAATAGCAAAATACCACAACACGAGTATATTAAATTACTCTTTGGGGTTGTTTCTCCATCAATTTATCAAAAAACGTGATTCACAAATAAATATTTCTTCTTTACAGTACTTGCACACATATGATATACAAAATAATGCAACAAACACACTTTCTCTCGTGTATCAGTATAGTGGCGATGCAAGAACCACTACGCTAAATCGTTCACAGGATGTCTTAAAAGACGATAGAGGTAAGCAAACCAGGAAATAGGCAAGAAAGTTATCGTAATAACAACTAGAAAATATAAACTGCGGTCGCATATCCCTCTACCAAGCGTAGCAACTATGGTAAACATCCTCTTGAGGTAATCTACGAAAGGCTAAAGGCTTATGACACTTTCTTTTCACTTTTAATAAGAAAAGCCATTATCAAGCAGTCGACTGTTTACAAGCTGATAACTAAGTATTTTATTCCTACGATTTATGACACTCCTAACATTTTCTATAGAATAAGAGTGACAAACGAGCACACAGTCTACGCGATGGCAAGTGAATGCTGTGGGGCCCATAGACATTCATACCTAACTTCGATTAACATTCAAAATGCAGATGCACTGCCACCACCTGAGGACCTACTAGATGGAATGCATCATTTCCAGTAAAAGGTCCCCGGTTGCCTACGCTCACCATACGAAACACAGCAGCGTTGAGATGCTATTTTACGCTGGTATTCTGTGAGTATGTATCATATCTGTGAAACCTATTTATAAATTAAAATATTGTGTCTTATTGACATTTTCGAACGGAAAATGAATAGTTTACATTATTTTAATTAAAAAAAAATATTTATGATGAGCACCTTTATTAATACGCACCTGTACACGGTCACCTTCCTATTGGGCATGTCGGGTAGCAGCAGCGGCACTGCTTCGGACCGGTATCCACCTTCTCCCGGCGATCGCAGCACCGTGCGAACTCCAGGGTGCTTCCACGGACTGTTGCGAAAACAGCCTACCGAACCAATATAATTACTTTTCCCCATCAAACAGGATAGTTAATTACTAATAACAAAATAGGATTTTTGTGATACTTCCTCAAAAAACTTTTAAAATGCTTAGACAGTTCTGTATTTGCTAAAATTAAGAAAATATCCGGCTCGAAGGACAAAATTGATATATGTTCAAACTAATTAAGACTGACAGCGTTGATATATAATAAACAAAAATTACACAAAAATATAATGAACAATGTGCGTGTGTGTGTCAACGTATACGCACACGCACATTGTTTATTGTATTTTTATCAAAATCAAAGCAAGTGAATTTTTTTAAATTAATCTACCTCACCACACATTTCATGCTTTTGCATAATATCTTTGTTACTCACCATCTTCCACCAGCGACTTGCTCAGAGCTAAGAAATGCCACAATCCACTCAGTGCCTCGTCTTCAGCAAGATCTGCATTTTGCCACAAGTCCGGCTAAAAAAAAATTTATATTGTGATTGTACAAATTTACACGAATATTCTACATTGAAAAAAACTAATTTTAAAGATTTTTATCGCCTTAAACTTAGTTTAAGATAAAATCCGTAAAATTTGTTTTATTCAATACATTTTATATTGTAAAAAAGATTTATGTGCACAAAATTTTACATAATATGTTTATATATATTTTATATTACCTTTTACCCGTGACTTCGTCCGCGTAGAACTTAACAAAAAATCTGTCGGTCTTTCAATCATAGAATCATAGAAAAGCTACTTTAAAGGTTTTTTTTCTATTATTTTAAAACTGTGTGCGATATGGGAAAATATTTATACATACATCGAATAACTTGAGGGGTGAATTATTATTGGTAGCTAGGGAGTGGATGACCTTAATACCTATCGATTTAGCCTACATTTATTGGCACATAGACTAGTGAAGTATATTTTTCAAGATAATGCCCCAGCACTAGCCAAATGAAAATTTCAGGGAAAGTTATTAGTTTTTAAGATAGGTTGTAGAAAAAAAGTGAAATATTTGTTTTAGAACCATAGATAGTTAATGCAAACACTAGATTTTTTAAAAATTACTATATTTTTTTATTTGGATTTTTATAAATCTAAGCCTCTATTTGGTTTAAAGGTACAAAAGACCCTTTATTTATCTTGTATGAAAAAAATTACGGTCGCAGACCTAATAGTTTATCTGCCATTGTGAAGTTTAGGCTAAAATCTGATTTTGATAAAATTTTTACTAAAGTCCAAATAACTTGAACCACTGAACATCGCATTACATACAGGGGGGTTTAAATCGATAGGTACTAAGGTCCTTCAGACCCCAGCTACCGATGATCCAACCCTGAAGTTACACTGCGTATAAAAATTATGAATTTTATTTAAAATGGGGTTAACGATGTTGAAATACAAAAAAAATATCGATTTTGTCGCAAAACTAAAAGAGATAGAAGACAAAGTGACCTCTTTTGTATAAAATTGCAAACCTATAAGTTTGGTTCCACAATTTTTTTATAACTTGTATTTTATGAGGTGATCATCGACAACCATTAACGTTTGCAGTTTTTCGATTATATAATAATATTTTCCATGTTTCTCATAATATAGCCTAGGTTACTACTGTTCGCTATCTGTTCGTGAAGTTTTATCACAAATCGTTAATGCGTTTGTTAATGAACGTGTAAATTCTGAACGACTTGACTGTGATCATTTTCACACAGTAAATTTGTTCTATCGAGACGATGGTTCATAGGTTCATATGCTAGGAACCGATACAGTGGCGCTGTAGTTTTTATCAGTTATCAACAAATATATGTTGCTAAAGTGCCCAAAAATCCCTAAATTTAGACCCGATGGCGTTGTGATAGAGTTTATAATAAATATTATTATGTCACCTACTGGAAAGGGTAGAACAACGTCTGGGCCAGCTAATATGTTATAAAAAAGGAGTGGTCTCGAAGGTGCAAAGCTTTAATATTGTAAATCTTTACAAACTTTACGTAACTCTAAAGTAATGCATATTAAGGACGCGTTTACAAAATTGATAGGTATAGAATCGCACTACTACATTGACAAAAGTCACACACACACTAGTGTACGCACGGTTGGCCGTTGGTGGGAATCGTAGTCAAATGAAATTATTTTGATAATTTTGAAAGATTGAATTTGTTTTTCATTTCTTATACCTACCTCAGAAATATACTTCGATACGAAATACGAATACCTGCTCCAGAGACTGCTTGGCACTGGAAGCCCTCTACTGGTAGTGAGATGTTAGCTCTGGACTTTGAACTGGTTTTGTCAGTTATAATAAGACCTTACCTACCTGCGGACTTGATGGAGTGACCTGAAGGTGTAATTTGTTGATTACAACAGGATCTCCTAGACTAGTGGAACTAGGTGTGCCGAGTTTGGGTTCGTTTTGTTGGTTATGATGAGACCTTACCACCGGACTTGATGGAGTGACCTGAAGGTGTAATTCGGTGATTACAAGTGGAACTCCTAGACTAGTAGAATTAGGTGTGCCGAGTTTGGGTTCGTTTTGTTAGTTATGATGAGACCTTACCACCAGACTTGATGGAGTGACCTGAAGGGGTTATTCAGTAACTACTGCTGGAATTTCTGAACGAGTAGAACTAGGTATGCCGAATTTGGGCTCCGTTTTGTTAGTTATGACGAGTCCATACCTCCGCACTTGATAGAGTGACCTGAAGGTGTAAATCGGTGATTGCAACTGGAACTCCTAGACTGGTAGAACTAGGTGTGCCGAGTTTGGGTTCGTTTTGTTAGTTATGATGAGACCTTACCACCAGACTTGATGGAGTGACCTGAAGGGGTAATTCAGTAACTACTGCTGGAATTTCCGAACGAGTAGAACTAGGTGTGCCGAATTTGGGCTTCGTTTTGTTAGTTATGACGAGTCCATACCTCCGGACTTGATGGAGTGACCTGAAGGTGTAAATCGGTGATGGCAACTGGAACTCCTAGACTGGTAGAACTAGGTGTGCCGAGTTTGGGTTCGTTTTGTAGGTTATGATGAGACCTTACCACCGGACTTGATAGAGTGACCTGAAGGTGTAGTTCGGTGATTACAAGTGGAACTCCTAGACTTATAGGACTAGGTGTGCCGAGTTTGGGTTCGTTTTGTTAGTTATGATGAGACCTTACCACCGGACTTGATGGAGTGACCTGAAGGTGTAATTCGGTAATTACAAGTGGAACTCCTAGACTAGTAGAATTAGGTGTGCCGAGTTTGGGTTCGTTTTGTTAGTTATGATGAGACCTTACCACCAGACTTGATGGAGTGACCTGAAGGGGTAATTCAGTAACTACTGCTGGAATTTCTGAACGAGTAGAACTAGGTGTGCCGAATTTGGGCTCCGTTTTGTTAGTTATGACGAGTCCATACCTCCGGACTTGATAGAGTGACCTGAAGGTGTAAATCGGTGATTGCAACTGGAACTCCTAGACTGGTAGAACTAGGTGTGCCGAGTTTGGGTTCGTTTTGTTAAATTCGGCACACCTAGTCATACAAGTCTAGGAGTTCCACTTGTAATCACCGAACTACACCTTCAGGTCACTCCATCAAGTCCGGTGGTAAAGTCTCATCATAACCTACAAAACGAACCCAAACTCGGCACACCTAGTTCTACCAGTCTAGGAGTTCCAGTTGCAATCACCGATTTACACCTTCAGGTCACTCCATCAAGTCCGGAGGTATGGACTCGTCATAACTAACAAAACGGAGCCCAAATTCGCCACCCCTAGTTTTACTCTGCAAGAAGTTCAAATAGCGGTCACGAAAGTACACCTTCAGGTCACGCCATCAAGTCCGGAGGTAAGGTCTCATCATAACCAACAAAACGAGCCCAAACTCGGCACACCTAGTTCCGCTCGTCCAGGAGTTGCAGTAGTAGGTAAGTTACTTATCCTACTTATTTTTAGCTAAATAAAAAACTGTGAGTATAAAAATAATAATTTTATCACTTGTGTTACTACTTATGTTTCCAATTTGTTTTTTTCTAATATTTTGTGTATGTACAGCGATCTTTTCAGAATGAGCCGCTGCAAACAGGCGATACAGTGTCCACTCACGACGGCGGCCAAGCGCGGACTGTGGTTTCATCGAAATCTTTGTACAATAAATCAAAGCAGGCACCAACAATAAAATAGCCCTTATTGCAATAGATTATGATTTATCCGTATTAGCAAAATATGTGAAAAAACTATTTGTGACATTTTGATAAAAATAAACACAGGGTTTTTTAATTGAATATGTCTGTTATCTTATAGTATTTTTTAAATTTTTTAAATATGTTGATAATAGACCAAAACATGTACCGAAACACAAGCCGGTATCGTTAATTTTGTAGAAAATGGCAACGAAAGTTCGTTTTTACAATATAAAAAACTACTATTTTCAACAAAAGAGTTACAGACGTTTGCAGATGAAGAACCAATCTATACATGGTAGTTTTTACTTATATTTGATTTGGTTTAGTTTTGTCACAAAATCTCCCGAAAAACACTCTAATTTTGGTTGATTTGTAAACGCGTCCTTAAAAAGGATCACCTTGAGTCCGTAGTCAGTGTTGGCGCGTTGCTGCATGAGATGTGAGATATCTCGCAGAGTGGAGTAGAAGTCGTCACGCATCAGGCGTAGCGCTCCGCCGCCCGCCCACACCAGCCCGCCGCGCGCGCCCCAGCCCACCGTCACGCGCTCGCACACCGTGTACTCCACTACTCCACCTGTACACACACATGCACACGCCCACGTACAGACACGCCGCGCCCAGTACACCGTCACACGCAAGCACACCGAGCACTCCACCAATCCATCTGCACACACGCACGCACACGCCCACGTACATACACCAAACACGCCCAGTAACACTTGACTGACACACTACAGATGCGTTCACAACGAGCGTAATAACCGAGAGCATATAAGGTAATCTTACAAATTTCAAAGTTGGAACAAGAAACTAAATTACAATGATGTTTCACTGTTCATTTTTAAAGTAAAACTTCTTTACGCACGCTTGACTTGGGGAGTAAGCTGGCGAACGCGTGACAAAAGTGTTGAATATTTTGTTCAATACATTAAATATTCTACGTTTAAAGTGAAAGTTCGGTTAAAGAAAGAAGTTCGGGTTAATAATAATTGCGCCGGGTGCCAGCTGATGGAGGCGAGTGGCTGCGTGGCGGGGCACACGTCGGCTCCTGCAGCTGGCAGGTGGCAGCTGGGGCTGTACACCCCACCTGTCAGACAGATGGCCAGCAGGCGCGCCTCGTGCGCCGGGTGCCAGCTGAAGGAGGCGAGCGGCTGCGAGGCGGGGCACACGTCACGCTCCAGCACGCTAGGCCCGCGCGCCGGCTGCTCCTCCAGCTCATCCAGCTCCTCCAGCGCTGGCGTTGCCGACATCTGTACCAATCGTCCTTTATCACATTTATGTATGTGAGTTAGGGATATATCCACCATTGTGTAAAGCTTTGGTGGGAATCTTAGTTGGCTTCCTTTTGATGTCTAAAGCACACAATATGACGAATTCTTGATAGATGAAATATTTTCTTAATTACAGCCTGAGGGTTCTATGAACACTACTGTAAGCTTAAGCTTTTAGAATTTTTTTTTAGAATAAGCATTTAAGTATACAAAAAGACTTACAGAACTGTCGAAAGATTGAGTAGCTTTGTATTCCTGGGCTTGCTGGATGTCGTGAAGACGTAAAGTACTGGAGTCACGTTGCAGCGAAAGTAAAAGGTTGCGTCTGTAATATAAAGACCAAAGACGAACATTATAATTTACCAACACCGTTTCGTGCAACATGGATTCTGGTGGCTTTTTTAAACATTAAATATATAGAGGGCCCCATTGAAACTTCACATCAAGTGTAATTCCTAAAAACAGTGGATTCAACAAACCTCTCTTTCCCATTTACCTGTACAACATTTGGTGTTGTAAATTGAATACATTTCGTTTTATTACCATTTAAAGCAAATTGTTGACGTTAAACCAGAGTACTAATTTTGATATAGCATAATTCACTTCGTAATATTTTAATAATTTCCATCCAAGTCGGAAAATCTACGAAGTATCATCATCAAATAAAAATATATCATGGTTATTCTCTGCCAAGTACGCTAAGTCATTAATATAAACGAAGAACAGGAATGGGCCAAAAATTAAGCCCTGAGGAACACCTATAGATACTACCGATCCAAAAGAACTATTCCTAATAATCACAACTGTTTGTGTTGTTTTATTTTAATGATGATGTGCGCTAGCGTTTTTACATCATAATGATGTAGCTTCCTGATTAATGTCTCATGGTGAACACAATCGAAAGCCTTGGAAAGATTACAAAATATACACATACATACAGAAACTTTATCTGAATTCTCTCACGCGCAAAAAATATATTTACTCAGCTCAGCACTGGCGCAAGTTGCCGAGCAATCTCTTGTAAAACCAAAATATTTATTTTTATTTTTGTGGAGTAAATTAATATCTGATCAAGAATATTTTTTTCAAGTGTACTGAGCGTTGGTAGTACAGAGATAGGTCTAAAATTAGTGGGGTTCAAAGTACTACCAGATTTAAATAAAGGTATAACTTTCATGTTTCATTATATCAAGAAATACGCCAGATTCGATGCAAGTATTAAAACAAGCAATTTGGAGAGTGATTTCATCTATAATAGACACAATAACTTTGACGGAAATCCGCTATAGATCTGCTGTTTTCTTAATATCAATAGTTTTGAAATATTTTATAATATCTTCTGATAATATTTTTATGAAATGCAATTTCTTTTGTACAGACATTTACATTTTGTTTGAGTAATGACCCGGCGACAGTCGAGGAAGAATTCAGTGACTTTGTAGTCAAGACAGGAATGTTGGTAAACTTTAACCGATCATGCGGGTAGATCTGTTTATGACTTTGCTTTGGCATATGGTCTGACATAACTGGTAATCTCGCCAACAAAGATCCCAGATGTGGAAGATCATGTATCTTCCCTGTTGGACCTTCTGCTAACCTCTCATCCGGACGGATATCAGGTCTCGGACCATTGTCTGATAAAGAGTACGGTGCAACTCAGGCTCCCATCGCGGTTGCGTACTGCAGGTTTCCGCCGTGTTTGGCACTATAGGTCCGCCCGATCTTTTTCTGCATCCTACCTTCGGAGGCGGTTTTACTTCTCGCCGGAGGATCCCAGCGTTGTTGCTGATTCTGTCGCCGTTGTGGTACTACAGGGAACAGAACTTTTAATTCCATCATCTGTGGTACCTATCGGAGGCAGAACCCAGCCATGGTTTGGTCGTTCCTGCAAAACTGCATTACGTTATAAGCAAGCGTGCTATCAGGCCTGGGCTCGTGCATCGACGTCTCGAGATGCAAATACCAGCGCTCTTAAAAAGTAGTATAAATCTGCCTTCAGGTCCTTCAAAAGTGTCATTGTCAAGGCTGAGTCAGAGCTCATCGGCAGAATTGGAAGAAACTAGTTCGTCTTCCTTCGGGAACACGTGCATTCTGGTCTCTCGCCAAGACTGTCCTAGGGAACTTCTGTAAGCCATCTCTCCCATTCCTGCACAGGGAGGACGACTCACTGGCCCATGCCGTAAAGGACAAAGCCAATATGCTGGGCTCTCTTTTTGCGTCCATTTCGACTCTTGATGACGGAGGGAACACACCGCCGACCATGCCGCGGTGTGAGTGCTCCATTCAGGATATGCTGTTAACCCAACGGTCGGTCCACAGAGCACTCCTCTCCCTGGGCATCAACAAGTCGTGTGAGCCTAATGGCGTCCCTCCTATTGTGCTGAAGACGTGTGCCTCGGAGTTGGCACCAGTTTTACGTGTCTTTTCCGGTGCTCCTACTCCCTAGGCGTAGTCCCGAAATCATGGAAGACAGCCTTCGTGTACCCGATCCCTAAAAAAGGTAACCGCTCGGAACCGTTCAACTATAGGCCTATCGCCATCACCAGCCAGCTTATGCGGTACATTGAGGATTATCAGCTGATTAGTGAGCCCCAGTACGTTTTCCGTCGTGGTCGCTCGGCTGGTGATCTTCTGAGTTACTTAACACATAAATGGGCGGAGGCAGTAAAGTCCAAGGGATAGGCGTTTGGATAAAGCGAAGGCCTTCGATCGGGTTTGGCACAAAGCGCTTCTTACGAAGCTTCCTTCCTATGGGTTTCCCGAAAAATTGTGCAATTGGATCACTAATTTTCTAGCTGATCGGAGCATCAAGGTCGTAGTAGACGGTACACGCTCTGATTACAAGCCCATTAACGCTGGTGCTCCACAAGGCTGCGTGCTATCACCAACGCTGTTTTCTTCTGCACATCAATGATATGTTGCAAACCTGTAGCATTCATTGCTATGCAGACGACAGCACTGGTGATGCTTTATACACCGGCCGTGCCAATTTTTTTCGGAAAAACGTCGCCGGGTAACAGGACAAACTTGGTCTGAAGTCGAGACTTTTTTGAAAACAAAGTCTCGGACTGGGGACGACTAAATCTAGTCCAGTTTAAACCCCAGAAGACACAAGTTTGCGCGTTACCGCTAAGAAAACCATTCATCGTATCTCCTCATTTTCAAGGCACTCACTCCCCTTGTTGCCTCAGCTAATAACGGAATCCTGACCTCTAAAAAGCTTGGCGTATTCAGCACAGCGGGACAGTATTTCATGCCGGCTCACCGCCTGCAACCTTACAAGGCGCAGGTTCGGCCGCTCATAGAATACTGTTCACATCTCTGGGATGGGACTTCCCAGTGCCAGCTCTTTCCATTTGATCGCATCCAGCGCAGAGCTGTCTCAATCTCGGCGACCACTGACACTGCGAAGAGATGTTGCATCTCTTTGTGTATTTTATCGCATCTACCACGGGGAGTGGTCTGAGGAATTGTTCGGACTAATTCCAGCCGCACAATTTCACCATCGCACATCGCGACAAGACTCGCGATACCATCCATACGATAGTATGATGATGTGGATGAATGGCGGTTCACCACCGTTCTTCTTCGCACAACTTCCTTGTGGAATCGACTACCACCAGAGACTTTTCCGGACCGATACAACTTAGGGACCTTCAAGAAAAGAATCTACTCTTTTTTTAAAAGGCCGGCAACGCATCTGCTACTCCCCTGGTGTTGCAGTTGTTCATGGGCGGCGGTAATCACTTAACATCAGGTGAGCCGTATGTTCGTTTGCCCCCTATCCTATAAAAAAAATATTGCTTAAAATTCAGTCTCAAATTTGTTTATTAAATGTAATGACTGGACTGTGAAACATACTCTTTTAAATATTTAAAAATATTTTTTTACATATTCCCTTAATTTAACACAGATTCAATGTCCTTTCATCGCAGTGTCCCGCCAAATAACCCACGACCAGCATACATTGTTGCCTTGCGCAGTGGCGAAGCTAGGGCTTCAAACTAGGGCAAGCCCAAGATATGGTTTTGTTGTTTTTAGCAGTTTAATAAAAATACACCAATCTTGAGCTGTCTCCACTCTTTAGTTTCAATCAGTGCTGTCAGGGACGTGTTTTTTGCTCGCTTTGTTAAAGCACACAGAAAGCATACTACCGCTAGATAGATTGTATGACATATGCAATTGTATACCTTCGGTGGTTTTGAAAAGAGCCGTTTGGGTTTGTTGCTTGAGATATTTACAAACAATACATGAACAAAATAAAAGCATGAACAAAGTACAAACAAACTATGTACAAAGTTAAAAAAGGGACGCCTGGCAGATGTGAAACCTCGAAATTAATTTGTTTAAGTTATATGCATAAAAGAACAGATTACGACAGGAATTAGATAGATATAATAAGATAAAGCTTTGCTAATTTTCTACCATAAAATAATGACTATTTATTATATAATTATTCATTTTCAATTTATAATAAACCGTACAAAATGATATTCAATTCATAATAAACCGTACAAAATGATATTTTTAAACTCATATGGAAATATGAATATTAAATTAGCTGATAGCGTATTTGTGCCATCTAGCGTAATCTTTAGGTACCATCGTGAGAATCAACCAATTTTCGTTCGTTAAAATGACTTTACCTATAGAATTAAGTAGATGGCGCTATTAAAATTTTATATACTGGAAATAACTAAAGGGAGTATTCTTTAAAATCCTCTTCTTTTTTAAATACATTTTTAAATATATTCTTTAAATACATTCTTCTGTATTCTTTTGATTTATTACATTAAAATTTGGGCTTCACGTTAAAAAAAGATTGTAACACTTATTTCCTATAAAATTAAACCTAGGTGTCTCATATTTTATGCTGCCGTTCAAAATGATATTTTTAATTCATATGGCAATATAAATATTGAGTTATTAAACCTTTAAATACGCCTAACTTAATTAAACTTTAATACTAAAGAGTCCTGTACCTATATTTAAAGTATGAAGAAATGTTTATTGAACATTAAATTTCATTTTTTAAATATTTTACGTTTTTCTCGCCGATTAGCACTTCAACACACTTATATTCATCACAATGAACACTATTATCCTCCCATTTTCACTGAAAATCTTTGAAAAAGCATAAATTTTTAACAAACACAACAAAAACAAACATAAACATTGAAATGTGAAGTGAACTTGCATACGAATGGCCCGCACCCCATTCGCTAGTCGCTAACGCACCTAAACAACTTCAGGCCAAATCCAGGCTTGTGGCTCAATAGTAATTGCTATATAAACATTTCGTAGTTATATTTAATTAGAGAACATTTTGCCACAGGTTAGAAAGGGAGCGATCGCCTTCTCGAAAGCCCGGTAAAAAGCCTACGCGTGCGAGGGAGAAAACCAATCGCTCAATTCAACTCTCCTTATATGTATGACAGCAGTATTCGTAAGGCTACGAGGTCGAAGGATTGCGCGGGAAATTTGAAATAGTTTGAAACAGTTTACAAGTTATTTTATTACTTGATATAATTGATTGATTCATCTTAATGAGGCAAGCCGGGCTTCTGGGCTTGTATAGAGGCTTCGCCACTGGCCTTGCGCTTTAAAATGTACCATTTTATTTTGATGTTATAGGACATATCAACAGCATTTTATACGTGGTAAAACCACGCAGCAGCTATATTATGGTTGTAGCACTAATGGGTCGGCTCGACCGGGGAAGGACAACGCTCTCAGAGAATACCAGCCTAAAATAGCAGCTTAATACTGATGTGTTTCGTATGGTGAGTGTAGAGATTTGGAAGCCCTTTTTTATTGGAAACGAAGCATTCCATCTTAGTTCTTCAGGGGTGACAACGCATCTGCGTTTTGATTCTTAATCGAGGATATATGAAGATGTCTATGGGCCACAGCATCCACCATCATGTGGACTGTATGCTGATTTGTTACCCTTATTGTACAAAAAAAAATTGGGCGCTTGATAGAAACCTTCGGCTTCAGCCAAAATTTTCCGAGAGTTTCGTCGAAAGTGGTCTTTTGGCCGAAGCTAAAGCTTCGGTCGGACACCATTGTATGTTGCGGGGCCGGGGGTTACTAAGTGGGGAACCACTGTATGTTGCGAGGGCAGGGGTCACCTGGTGGGGCATCGCTGTATCTTGCGAAGGGCGGGGTCATCTGGTGGGCCATCTCTGCATCTTGAGAAGGGCGGGGGTCACCTGGTGGGGCAACACTATATTTTTCGGGGGCCACCTGCTGCGGCACCAGTTTATCTTGGGGGGCGGGGGTCACCTGGTAAAATACCACTGTATATTGCGGGTGCGGGAGTTACCTGGTGGGGCACCACTGTATCTTGCGCGGCGGGCGCGCGGCGGGCAGGTTCAGCAGTGGGCGGGCGAGGGCGCGCGCATCCCACACGCATACGCCGCCGTCGCCTCGCGATGCCAGCTGCCAGCCGCTTGGCTCCGCGCACACGCCCAGGCACTGTCGGCTCGTTGCCACGCCCATCGCTTTACCCGTGTGCTCTGCCCGAAAGATATAACAATGAAAGCATCCGGCTTTTATGCCACCAGCGCGGCGCCACTTAAGGACGAGCTTTTGCTGTGCTCCTCGGTTTTTTGTAGAATTAGGGCGAAAAGCGAGCTCACAGCCCGCCTGATGGTAAGTGGATGTTGTGGCCCATAGACAGGCCTAGAGTGACAGAGCGCGTACACCTCGCGATTGTACGTACTTATTGCATGAAATAATTACTTAAAATCACGAGGCACCCCGGGCTTCACACGCAGTCGGGGCTAGCGCGTTGTAAGTGATTGAATGTTAAAGTTTTTAAGGCCAACACTACAGCTTATAAATAAACAATAGGCGTAAATAGTCTTTTGGAAATACTTGTTGAAATAGTTTTTTTAGTGTTTAGTATATTTAATTGTAGGATAAAATAGTAAAAAAATTTTTATGTGATTAAAAATTATATATATTATGTATATTACCTATTTGATAAATTTTAATGGCAAAACGTCGTTCCTGCTATAATTGTTGCGTGGAGGCATGCTAAATGACCAACAAAAGGTTTCAGATATATCATTCTTTAAGTTACAGAAGGATTTTAGTAGGAAGTTATGAAAGGTGAATTTATTTCACTTTTTTGTTAGATAGGTACTTATAGCAAAAAAGAATTAAGTAATAATTTATCTACAGAAGTAATACATACTTTATTACAAAACTTAGTTGAAATTCGCTTCACTATCCAAATATCTACTTATACTTATATTATACATATACTTGTCTTTTGTAATTAGAATATTTAAATTATAATAACACAAAATACTGAAATTAAAAATTTGTTTACAAATAAGATTTTTAACTAAGTAGAATACGATCACATTTGTGTTAGGTATCATATTTCAGATTTATTTGTTGTTAACACTATCTACCTATTTCCTCCGAACTAAGCATCGCGATTCCCGACGAATGGCCTTGTAAGTTGCAAAATATGGTCGGTCGATCATAGTCAGAATAGGTACTTCACCTAAGTAACTTAATTATCATTTAACAATGTATTTTTTTACTCTTTATTGACAGCCCTTAGTAATCCCGGAAATTCCGCCGTGACTTAGGAAGGGGAAAAGATCCAAGTAATACTAACACTCGCTCGCAGCGATAAAGTTTTATTTAGCTTGCGATCGCAATTTATCTAATTAATAATAATTATGTAGGCTATTAAACGTCGGTAAGCAGTCAATATCAAAGGACTGCAACTTCTGTACGTAGTACTATTATTTATCCTGTGTCATAGTCATCTACATCTCCATCTCCAATAAGAATCTAAATGCAAATGCGTTGTCACACCTGAGGATTAAGATGGAATGCCTATTTATGCCAGATGGTATCTGTGGGTTGGAGTAGCCACTTGCCATCAGGTGGACTGTAAGTTCAACAAACCTCTCAAATCTTTCATTTAATAATAGGTCGGGGAAAAATTTTCTTCGTATTTTGTTTGTATAAAAGTGAAGAAAAAGGAGACGGTCCATTTCGGACCCCACATAAGTACACTACACTATACAGAAAAGCGAAAAATTCTGGGATTTTATTAAAAATAAAATAAAAAACTATAAATGAGAATAGTGAATACCTCCTCACCGTATGTGTGGAAAAGAATCTTTTTGTGACGAACACTTTTTTTCGTTATAAGAAGATTCACATGTGGAAAGAGGTGATGATAGAAGCATATATTTCATAACTGTGAATGAAAGAATGAGGAGCGCAGTGGTAGATACAAGGGTTAACCGGGGAACTAACGTAGGGACAGATCATTACTTGGTCCTATCTCAGATTAATGGTCTATTCAAGCGTTGGCGGCATCGGACATCTGTGTCTACCACTGCAATACAGCATATAAGAATAGAGAAAATACAAGACGAAGTTGTGAAAGAGAAGTATAAATGTAGACTGAGGGAAAATATGAAAGGTTTGGTGGATGCAGCCACCGAAGTATGTGGCGTAAGTAAGAGAACTAATGAGAAGAAAAATAATACGTTGTAGTGAGATGATGAGGAACGGGTGGAAGATGAAGCAATGAAGAGAGCATGGTTAGATTTACTAGCAACCAAAGCTGGTAATTCTGGCGTTATGAATGAAAAATGGCAGAATTTAGACGTCTAAATAAGAAAGTAAAAGAAGTAGTTAAAAGGAACAAGAAAGAACGGATAAGAATGATAGAAGGATATCTGATAACTTCCAGGCAAATATTAAAATGTTCTGGAAACTCGTAAGAACTGCCAGGGGAAATTCAAAACAGCCTAGAATTCATGCTATGCGAGACGAAAACGGATGTATTTTGTGTGACGAAGTTGCGAATTTAAAGAGATGGAAGGAACACTTTAAAAGCGTGTTTATGAGTGAAGAGTCGCCTGAATTAAATGAAATGGAAATTCCGAATGAAGTGGAAAGGAGTATGGAGATAAGTGTAGATAAAATAATGAAAGCAATGAAAAGCATGAAAGCAGGTAAGGCAGCTAGATATATCTATAGAGAGATAGAGTATCACTCGAGATGCTAAGGGCAAGAGAGGCAGTGGTGGCAGGCCTGCTGTACACCTTGTTTAATTTATGTTCGGAATTGAAGCGGGTATCGAAAGACTGGTGTAAAGCAGTTATAGTCCCAATATATAAAGGGAATGTTTTACAGCAGGACTGCAAAAACTACCGTGGTATCAGCTTGCTTAGTACTGTGGGGAAACTGTATGCTAAGGTGTTAATTGAAAGAGTTATGAAAGAAACTGATGGAAAAATTTGGGATGTGCAAACGGGATTTAGAAAGGGAATGGGTTGTACAGATCAAGTCTTTTCCATACGCATGATTGCGGAGAAGTTTTTGTTCTAAAAACCAGAAAGTTTTTTGTGCGTTCATGGACTTGGAAAAGGTTTATGACAAAGTGGACAGGACTGTGTTATGCCAACCACTAAACTCATTTGGGTTGAGCGCTGGTTTGACACAGGCATTAAGGTCACTTTATAGGGACTCTAGTGCTTGTGTCAGGATCAACGGGGTCTACTCTGAGTGGTTCGGCATCTAAAAAGGTGTCAGACAGGGCTGTGTAGCTTCCCCGTGGCTGTTCAACCTATTTATGGACAGTTGTTTGCAAAATTTGAAAGATGAAGAATGTGGGTTAAGATTGGGCTAGTTAACCCTCAAATGCCTTTGATACGCCGATGATCAAGTCATATTTGCGTCATCGGCGGCTGAGTTGCAAATTATGGTTACGTTAATGAACTGGGCATTAAAAGAAAGGGGGATGAAAGTGAACGCAAGTAAGACGAAAGTGATGGTTTTTGAAAGAGAAGAAAGTAAAACATTATGTGAAATAAGAATCGAAGGGGAGTTGATTGAGCAAGTGGATGAGTTTGTGTATTTCGGATGTGTATTTATCAGAGACGGTAGATAGGATAAGAACGACGATTAAATGCAGGAAATAGAGTGAATGGGGCTCTGCACTCTATTATGAAGAATCAGAATGTGTCAAAAAAGGCACGTATGGTAATTCATAATGCTGTGTTAATCCCTACTTTAATGTATGGTAGTGAAAGTTGGGTGTGGCAGAAGAAGCACGAGAGTAGAATACGACAATGACATGGTGAGAAATTGAACAGGATGAGAAAAGTATTAAACAGACAATTAAAATTTCAATTTCTTCACCTCTGAGATCGAAAATTTTTATATTCTTCAAGTTCATAGATGCAGCCAAAACTCGATTGCCTAGGTTAGTCCATGCAACACTATGTGCTGTTTCTGATATTGCTAGCTCAGCAACAGGCCGACCCGGCTCCGACGGAGGTGGAGATGCATTGTCTGAAATAACATTCAAAAATCCTGGTTGATGTAGTCATTAATACATTTTTATAGCACAAATTATAGTACTAAGCAGCTTGAGCAACAGAAATTTATTCAGAATTTGCGTGTGTATGATTTTCAAAAATCTCAGTTAGGAAATTGAGAACACCTTTAACAATAAAAAGTCACACCCACACGCAGTTCACCAGATGGTAAGCGGATACTTTAGCCCAGACATCTTCATATATCTTCGATTCTGAATCAAAACGCAGACACATTGTCACCCCTAGGACTAAGATGGAATGCCTTGTTACCAGTATTGTCTTAAGTTCTCGACACTCATCACACGAAAGGCAGCAGTATTATTCTATTGTTTCACACTGGTATTCTGTGAGAGTGTGGTCCTACCCCTGTCAAGCTAGCCCTGTCGTAGCACAGATGTATACAGCTGCAGCATGGCTCTGCGCCTTAACTTAATAATAATTCTTTATTAAGTTTTATTTTTACTTAACATTAGTAAATATACAAGGTTATTTTTCAAAGAGTACCAAAATTTTATAATTTCAAAATAATATATAATTTCAATTTTTTTTTAAATAAGCTAAAATAGGGCTTCTATTTTTTTAATTATCCGAAATTAAATTTGATATATATACAACTACGCGTAAACGCACTCCTTTGTGTGCGATTCAATTCACAACGTTTTTGCTGACCGATCGGCTTACGAATGTGCTTAGATATTTATGAATGATAATCAGTTAAAATAATGCATTACCACGCATTCTGCATTCAAAAGATAAGAAGGGCAGAATGTTTGATATTTTTTTAATTAATTTTTCTTCACCATTCGCCTATATTATTTATTCCGAACCTTCTCTACAAATTCTATATCATAATCATGGAAGTGGATTATATAACCAGAATGTTCTTTAACTTTACAATACCTGGATAATCATCAGTAGATAAGGATGAACGATGCACATCCCACACCTGTACGCAGCTGTCACTACGGTGTTTATCCAAGGCAACCGCAATGAGGTTGTTTTCATTGTGGTTCCAAGCCACACCATTGCACGGGCGAGCATACTTGACCCCTGGCGATAAGTAGAAAAGCTTTTCTCATAGAACTAATCAGCAATTTTAGCTATTGCTAAAATTTATATAACTGAGATATGGAGACAGAGAGGCAGAACATCATATCCAGATTCAGATTAAAACATGCAGAGGCCCCGTAGCAATACAAGTGTCAGCTGCCTCTCCATTTTTCCTACTTTCTGTATAACATAATGTTGCATTTTTATAAGATCTAAAGTCTTACAAATACCTGGCCAATAACCATATAGGTAGGGCTTTACTAACAACACTTTTTATATAAAATAGCCTTAAATATTATTTTATTAGAATCCCAACTCTGAACTTAGTTTATAGGGAAGTAATTGTGTGGATTATAATCAGTGATCGAAATAGGTAGTACAATTTAGGGTTAATGACTTTAAATGTTGTATTAATATCAGCATCTTCAACTTCCTTCAACCTTCAAGAAAAGAGCTTACTCCTTTCTAAAAGGCCGGCAACGCACCATGCAATTCCCCTGGTGTTTCGGTTGATCATGGGCGGCGGTAGTCACTTAACATCAGGTGAGCCGCATGCTCGTTTGCCCCCTCTTCTATAAAAAAAACTACGCCCGCAAATTTTAATCGTTGGAAATATTTACTTTAGTACAGTATATTTCAATTAGTATAAAGTTCGCACATTATTATTAGTTAACTTATTATAGTTATTTTAATAATTGTAGCTGAGCTTTCTTCCCAGTCGGAATTGGGAAAAATAAATACTAGTATCAATGTGTCACTAAACGTAAAAAATTAAATATCTTATCTCTGGAATAATGGAAAAATGTCTACTTGCTTGACATATGGAATGGCCCAGATTATGCAGTAAAAGTACTAAAAATCTAAAAAGACGACAAATTTTGAATTTTGAATATGTTACCCAAGTTACAAACGTTTTGTAAAAAGTGTGTACTGCCTGAAATTATCGACTCGAGGTAAGCTCGGTCAATGCCGTTGCGGCAAATATTTTTATAATAAAAAAGTATGGAAATTAAAACTGTAAGTACCGATTTTAAAAAATATTGGTTACAGTTGGTTATTTTATTTATTAAAAAACAGGTTGCAACCGTACTATTTATTTATTTATACCCCTATGCTACAGTTAGTTGATATAATCGATTATTAACCAACATCGGTTAACAATAGATTATGGCAAAACAATTAAAATATTTATATGTACTTATTTCAACACTAACAGCCTGGCCACGGGACATTCGCCGTAGCGAAAATTCGCGCGGCGCGAACGGCGAGGCGTCTAGCAACTAAAACAAATGTATAGAAATATACGGACCATGCCACGCGTAGCGGCGAGTGGCGACGCGACCGGCGAAATTTACGCGGCGAATCGCGTGGGCGACTGGCGGCGCGGCGGGCGAATGAAACAAATATATGAATCAGTACGGCGCAAGCCACGGAGTCGGGCGGCAGACGCGGCGAAAACCGTCGAATAGTATAGGGAACAAAATATTTTAGTTGTTTTTGCCGCGAAAAATGCCGGGCCGACAAAAACAACTTAAAATTCTATCCGAATTGACTTTTCAATCTCCAATTCTGGTTGAATATTAACAAAAATATAATCGCTGGTTTCGACACACATTTTGGTATTTACTCGAAATTTTTTTCTAGATGCATTATATTTGTTGTGGAATTCTCCATCTATAACCCAATTCCTATTCAAATCATGCACTCTGCAATCTCTTCCAAATATTATGTCTTGTAACAAAAAACAATTACTTTCTAAGAATATCGAGATAACTTTGATAAAGACATTTCACTCTCGGCCTATCTGGTCGCGGCGGCAAACGTGATTTCCCGTGGCCCTCAAATCGCGCCGCGCGAATTATCGCCCCGCCTGTCGCTTCGCCGTTCGCGCCGCCGATCCCCGTGGCCAGGCCGTAAGGCTCATAAATAATGAAAAATATATCAAATAGATTATGATAAATTGATTAAATCACATAAAAACAACACACCAAAAATTTTTCATCCACTGAACTCCATCCTAAGAAAACTTGTATAATGGAAGATCAAGATTGTTTAGTCACTATACACATAGTGCGAGCGAGTGAATAGATATGAAATAAAGTATCGCTCGCGTAGATCGTCGCCCGCTGGGAGCTAAAATACCTAAATTTGTGTAACGCCGAAATGTAAGATGGCTCTATGCTATGTAGTAATTTATTTTCGGTTTTATATTGTTTGTACATTTAAATCATAGGCTTTTAACTGTTATAATTTATTATTTACTAGGAAAATAGTACTTATTTGGTTGGATTATGAAAATATTTTCTCCGCTTTATATGATTTTGAAACTCAAAACATGTATACTTACAAATATTTTTATTTAAATTTTGTTGTGTTGATATTGTGAGCCTCATTCCCTGACTATAAATTATATTAATAAATACTATAAGAAACTTTATAACACCAATTTGTAAATGATGTGAGTAAAGTTTAGAACTAAGTTAAGGCTACATAATTATGAATGAAAAATATTGATAGAAATGATGAATAGGAAAAAGTTGTGATAGGAAGAGAAAATTATCGGAAGTTAGCATATCCACACACAATCAGCCTGATCAGCTGAGATATTGAAAAACCTAAAATCTGATTAATTTTTCAAATTTGTTGGGATATGATAAAAACTGGAATGAGTTCTAACTATTGTTATTGAGTGAATTGAGAATTACCTAAAGAAATGTTTACATTATCTTGATCACATATGTATGCGAGCTGTGTATGTGAAAGTGTATAGTACAATTAAATAATAAATCATACGAGCTGAAATGCTACATATGTAAAGAAGTATAAGTTAAATGAAATTGGTCATTTTTTGATCATGTATATACGCCGGCCGTGTACGTGAAAGAAATGACATAAATATGTAATGAATAGCTAAAATGCTAGGTATGGATAAAAATGGAAAATAAATAATGGTTAACTAGGAATGAAGTAAATATATGAAGGAAATACAAAAATAAAGTAAAATATTGAAATATAAAAGAACATGAAAATCAAAAGAGTATAATATATATTATTATTGTCCCGACTAGATAAGTGATAGGCATACAAAATGATTAAGAATATGAATAAATAATATTGTAAAGTTTCGTGAAGATCAAAACATAATTTTAAGCTTTACATAATTATGCCTGATTATGTTAATTATACCACTGTGATTATGCATTTCTACGTGCTAGATATGTCTTAGATTATAGCTTTCATAAAGATATTAATTTTATTTAGAATAATTTAAAGGATTTTTTAAGTATTGATAAAAAATATACAATAGCATAATTTTTTTATTCTTTTGTCACTGATAGGTGTAGTGTAGTGTAGCCCCCACATCAATATGCATTAGTGTTAAGGTAGAATAATTAAGCAGTATAATTAAAAGTTTTAGTACCAACAACACTTCGATCAACAATACCCACTAGATAACGGGTCACATACAAAATCATAGCTAAATACTGTCCACGTGAATATATACTTATACAGCTACATTTGTTTACTAAAGAAATGAGACAGAAATTAAAATAGTTTTAAGTTCAACCTAATTACAACCGTCGCATCTAGTGATAAATCACAAATATTATGATCATTAGTTCATTAGTCACAAAAAAAGAACAAGGCTATACAATACTCCTATCACTTGGAAATAAAAAGACATAGGTAAGATAACATTTTGTGTGAAATCAACCTTAAGGTCTAAGGATTAAAGTACTTTTTCCCGTTATTGCATTGCGAGCTACGTCATTTTGTTATGTTTCTGTTTTCTTGTTCGAATTTGGCCCAGGAAGCATTGAGTCGTGTTGAACACTAAAATAATTTATTATATGATCATAAGTTTAATTAAAATTATTTTATGTTTTGGGCATTTATGATCATTGGTATACATACTTTTAGTCAAAAAATAAAATATAGTATGTAGTATATTGATTGCATTTAATTAACTAATTCAATATGTATCTATTTGAGTTTTTGTATGTATATATGTTCGTAGTATGTATTTATCTTTAACTAACGAAATGGTAATATAATGGTATGTGTGCTGCAATTATATTATTATGCTCTGTCTTTCATATGGTGAGTGTAGAGAACCAGATACCCTTTTTACTGGAAACGAGGCATTCCATCTTAGTCCTCAAGAGTGACAACGCATCTGCATTTTGATTCGGAATCGAGGATAAATGTAGATGTCTATGGGCCACAGCAACCACTTACTGTCAGGTGGACTGTGTTCGTCTGACACCCTATCCTATAAAAAAAACTTGTTTGTGTTGGAGTACAATAAAGAATAATTAATAAATAAAATACTAATTATTTTATGTTTTTGTGTATAATAGGATTTTTTATGTATAAGTGTTTTTATGTGTTGTACACAAAAAGTAATAAACTGCAAGTACGCTTTTTGTTTTTCACATGCATGTAATATTGGTGGCTGCCAAAGGTGTGAATAGCTGTATGTTACAAATAAAAATATCACTAAATTCCATGAACACATAACCGAATTCTTAGCTGGCTTATAAAAGTCATCTCTTCTTTCTCTGTCGACAATCGAGGTCCATTCTGCACACTTAAGCGGATTGCTAGGAAAGCTAAAATAAAAAGCTAAGTAGGTATCTAATGTCCATAAAATAATAAAAAATTTAAAGTTTTGGTACCAAATTATTAAAAATTATTACAATACAAGTCTACTTCACGCAACATAGTCATGTTCTGTTTCACAAATGTTTGCCCCTATATTGGTCAACCTTGGCAAAACATTTGTAGGGGTGATTTCGTTCCAAATATGATATTATTTGTTAACTTAGAGCTTAAAATATAACATATTATGCATGTACTTACCGAAAGTAAGACACTCCGGCCGTTAAATTACTTTTTTGGGCATTATTCTTGCAACTTTTAAATACACATTGCGGCATTGTGAAACCTGTTTACATTGGCTGTGTTTCAAGTGAACTAAAAGAAACAAGAGCTCACATCTCATGTGCGCTGTTATGTACTGAGATGGGTTTCTTGCACCGATCCGACATCTAGTTGGTATTGTTGATCGAAGCAACAACACATCTTCTTCATTGACACCTTTCATATATTATGTATTTAATATATAACTCTGTAGCATCGCTGTCGTCGCGCCACTAGCACACCGAAACACACCGAAGCCTAAATCACGCTATCAACATTCCGAATCATGAACAGTATATATAGAACACCTCCGAACTATCACACGGAGCGTTGGCCGCTGCCGGGGCATAACACCTTGCCCGGCGGGAGATCTCCCTTTTCCTTCCACGGCCATAGTGGTGACCACCCAACGTGATCTGAACACGCAACCAACAACCTTCGGAAACTTCAAGCTTCATCATCGTCATGGAGTACCCCACCCATTCGCTCCCGAGCAGATATCGTCTGCAGTCTTTCATATCTTGCAAGCCATCTAGCTTCACAAGGTTCATCGCAGCACTGGAATAATAATGCTTCCTGTTCCTTCAAGCTACTCTCTGCGCTACAGTGTTCGGCACGGCTCTGAGCCTTACTGCTCGCCTCTGCTTCACGGCACTCTCGCAGATTACTTGCCTTCTTCTCGACTCACCGCAGACTACAAGGCAAACTCCTGGCACTTGCACATTCGTCGGAAACGAGGCTGCACTATCGACCTCCGGTCTGAGCAGGGGGGGTGATGTAGCATCGCTGTCGTCGCGCCACTAGCACACCGAAACACACCGAAGCCTAAATCACGCTATCAACATTCCGAATCATGAACAGTATATATAGAACACCTCCGAACTATCACACGGAGCGTTGGCCGCTGCCGGGGCATAACACCTTGCCCGGCGGGAGATCTCCCTTTTCCTTCCACGGCCACAAACTCCATTGACTTGTCTTTCAATGGTACTTTTTCTGCACCCTAGCCCCTTAGCTTATTGGGGAAATAATATTTACGAGGATCTTCGTCCAAACAAAAACAATCCAAATCATCACAGCAGAAACTTAAAGTCCATTTACACTAGCCAAAATAGTTGAGAATAAAAGAGAAATTAGTCCGTAAATCAAACAGAGGGATTATCATAATAAACCAGCCATGTAAGTAATACGAAATTCCAATTGCATAGGCGACAATAGAAAAGAAAGTGACAATGCTTACTAAATATCATTTTGTCTCTCTCACCCGCACATTGTAACAATAACTTTTACTGCTTTTATCATTAAATAATAACCAAGTCATTCACCAAGTAGTTCAGTACTTTGAATTTTTAAAATTAAATTGACCATATGTTCTAAGTGGGATTTAAAGGCATAGTCATATTAGGACAATGTCACGAATTCCCATAAAATTGCATTACCTATTCCGATCACTAATTATAATATTGAAATTTATTTTTAGTATACAGGATTTCCAAATGCAAAATAGGCATCAAATCCAAAATACCTAAGTGCAGAAATCTAGTTTTTGAGATACAATTTATATGGTAAAAGACATAGCTAACCACAGTTTTCACAATTTTAACAAAGGCAAATTTACACATTAATGTTTTAAAGAGAATAAAACATGAAAGTGTCAAGTTAGTAGCCTTAAATAAAAGGGGATAACCTGCCACTAGTGGCATGTAAAGAAATAATGATTTTCTGCCACATTACTCTTCCCTCCACCTTTCATAGCCTCTGGTGATTCTATAATTCTTTACAAAATTATAATTTAGCACCTCTGTAACAGAGTAGACAAGCATTTTGTAATTGCCCTATGGGCACAGACATTCAAATTCCGCATAGAGACAAACATTTGTATGGCCTACAAATAATTGCTTTAGGTTTGTGTCTGTGTGCTTCCATGTTAAAAGAGAAAATTCTAAAAGAAAAAGAAAATTCTAAATATATTATAATAATCAAAAAATACACTTACCAAACTCCCTTCCAACTAAGCCTAGAGGATCATATGTCTGCTTAAGGCTTGTTAAGGTAACTTTGCCAGTGGCATGTCCCAGTGCTAGTAGAGGATCTGGTTGATCGACCATAGCACTTATATCCACACAACATACTCCACTTGCACTTTGAGAGGCTACTACTATAGCACCCCTTGTAGAGGATATTTGAGTGACTGAAATGAAATTCATATTAAAAATAAAGATAAATCACGTTATTTTTTTAATTATTTTTAATCATTATTGGTGTCTTGTTATTGTTTAAGATATACGTAATACCATTAAATCAGCCTTTTTATGTGAAAGTTTAAACTAAACTTGAAGTGTTCCTAACTTTAATACGTACATGAAGTCTTTTTTTCTATTTCTTTAAGTCTGGCTACTTCATATAAGGTTATATCAGGCCCCCATATTATGAACTTATCATGGTGCACCGGTGACCAGATGACATCCAGTTTAGCCCCTGAGATATTTTCCATTACGGAGTTTAGAACATCAATTTTACTGATTATAACTATTTATAAGTAAGTTTTAAACGTTTACGTTTTTATTTTTATGATATAGGTAAAAACTAAAAATAGGAGATTGTTGTTCTTATCTATATGTTGTTGTTGTTATCACAGAGTACAACACATATATATAGATTGTTATTCGCCAATAATGTAGAGGCAAAGCTCTTAGACCATACAGCTTAGTTTGATGTGTATTTTACACAAAGTACTTTACAAATAAGCTAATGCGTCATTGCATAATTTATAGAAGATTTTGATGATAGAAAAAGTAACTCTAGGCACCTACGTAGATAAAAAACTCGATCATTTAGATCAACAAAGATGTAATTTTGGCGTCGGTTTCCCTAATAGTTTTCACCTTATGAGCATTTTCACGTGTCTAAAATGACTATTAACCATTTTTTAGATCAAACTGCTGAATTGCACTGTTAATGGTTTGGAGTTGATTTTATTACACAAAAGTGGTACGATTTTGTGTAGTGGTTTAAGTTGTTTTGCGTAAACATTTATGGTATTTGAACTATTAGTGGAAACAATGTAATAAGTGCTTCAATAGTAAAAAAATCTCAGGTGATTTTATTCGCTTCAGGGCTTTGATCATTGACATGCGCTGATTTTAGCTGTCGTCAAAATATCTCAAAACTTTGCAATAAGACGCATCAGCATATTATGAAGAATTTTGTAAACAAAATATGAAAAAAATATTAGGCTGTATGGAATAAGACCTTTGCCTATAATGGAGGATAGAGAGAAGGAGAACGATCGCTATAGAAAATAGTGTCCCAGAATATGGACAAAATATGTGAGACGCTGTAATCGTTACCGTGAGTTTGCACTGACGCGACTTTCACGAAAAAACATGCTTTAAACACTGTTTTCTGTCAATGTATCAAAAAGCGTTTGCATTGTGAAAAGAACATGTTGTAGTGAAATATGTTTGACAGTTTATTGTACATTACATATTTTAACTGTATTATATCTTTAACTACAGAAACAAAATGTTTGAAAACAAACTTGTAGAAACATTGTCATGTTGAAAGATAAGTTTGAATATCTGTTGAAAAGTTTACACAATTTTCGTGAGTGCGAACGCGACCATCAACAAAACATGTTGTGTGATATATTTCATGCGATTTGTTTCAAAACATTACGTATTGGATGTTTCTCAGTGCAAACGTACTGTAAAGTTGTCACAATAAAAGTCATTTTCAATTTCTTTTTCCGATCAGATGCTAAACCACTTGCACACCCGCACAATACAATATTTCACCATTTTTTAAATGTTTCTTTTTGTCAAAAATAATAAAATTACGGAACACGATTATTTTCTCCAAAATTCCTCGAAGAAAATTTGTACATAATTCAACTAACTTCATCTACTTGTACTCATAAACAGCGAATTTCGCAGATACTACTTACTAGTGGCGGCAGTTCAGGGACAGGCGGGATATGCTTTAGCACGTAGTGATCGTTCTCCTTCTCTCTAACCATGATTGCCTATTTTAATTGACATCGTAACAGTACGTTTGCACTGAGAAACATCCAACACGTAATGTTTTGAAACAAATTGCATGAAATAAATAACACAACATGTTTTGTTGATGGTGGCGTTCGCACTGACAAAAACTATGTAAAATTTTCAACAGATATCAAGATTTGTTTTTAGCTGTGTTCGCATTGAATACAACATAAACATTCTACTTGTTTATCCATAGATTTGTCAACGTTAGCGTTCGCACTGTTGTTTTTTTATATTTCGCGATTTGTTGTAAATCGTGTTTTTCTGTTATCCAATTTAGTTGCAAAACATCACAAAACATTATCAACCCTAGCGGAGACGAATGATAACTTTATACAAAATATATATGTGGTATCATCATCATCATTACAGCCCTTCACAAGTCCACTGCTGAACATAGGCCTCCCCCAAGGTATGCTACAATGCACGGTCCTGACTCAGGACTCCTGAGCCACCTGCATCCATCGACTACCTGCATGTCTTACCAAGACGTCACTCCATCTAGTGGGGGGTCGCCCTACACTTCACCTACAGGTACGAGTCTGCCACTTGAGAACCTTTTTTTCCCAACGGTTGACGGTTCTACGAGCTACATGGCCGGAACCATTGTCACTTCAGCTTGCTAATCCGTTGGGCTATGTCGGTCACTCTGGTTCTACTGAGGATATTCTCATTTCTAAGTTTATCACGCAGAGTTTATCTCGCTGAACGACTTTGAGCGTCCTCATACGGCCAGCAGTGAAGGACCACGTCTTGGTTCCGTAGGTCATCACTGGCAACACGCACTGGTTGTACAATTTAGTTTTCAGGTTTTGAGGTATACCTGACGAGAAGATGCGTCGTAATTTCCCGAACGCTGCCCAGCCGAGTTGAATTCGTCGATTGACCTCTCGGTCGAAGTTGGACTTACCCAGTCGGACTATTTGTCTCAGGTAAACGTACTCGTCAACAACTTCGAGCTTAGTGCTCCCAACAACTACCGGCATAGGTGTGACACGGACATTAAACATGATATTTGTTTTGTCCATGTTCATCTTAAGACCTGTCCATTGAGAGGCACTATTGAGTGAAACTATTATATGTGGTATATATCTCCACAAATTCCATCTTTATCATTAATCAGATTATCTGCAATTCTCTCGTGTGGCGGAAAAATTAAGTCTTTTTTTTTGGGGTATTTTTTTAGGTTGCCTGTCCCAGAGCTCGATATAAAAGAACGTAATAAAATACAATACAAATTTCTAATTATTTATTCAATTAAAATACATAACTTATAAAAGAAACGTAGAAAACTGTTTATCAAATAATTTAGTTTGTCACTGCCATCTTCATAATGTGTTTTAAGTGACAAGAAATTTTTGTTCCACATGTTCTACTAATTATATATATGAGAAAGAAATATGAAAGCATGTACCACCTTTCTCTCAAAATTTTACAAAACTTAACATAGTTTAGGTTCTAATAATCTGTGTTTCCTTGGAGATATACAGGGTTATTTTGTGATAACCGGATGTACAGACACCCCACATAATAATAATAATATTTATTGAATCCAAACATACTTTACATAAAAACATAAACTTATAAAATTACATTGATAAGACGTAAATATAACTCAATAGTATATTAAGTATCTTTAGCAACCGTGCTAGGTCACAGACCTGTGTTACAGCTGCTAAGCCCTCCCCATTAAATACATACCAAATAGAAAAACAAAAACATAAAAACAATTTTACCACAATCAAGAAATGAATAAAAGTTCTAATCCGACAAATGGCTCAATACTATTATAGCTAAATGTTTAGTTGTATGGTACAAGAGTAAGGCAGGAGAGATATTCTATAAATATGTCACACACTTATATTAATATTCAAATGTTATAGTAAATGTTTACAAGAACTTATTCTATATTTCACATAAAAATAATTGAAACTTAGTGACTCAGTTAATATTTCATTTTCTTAAAACAATAAAATATAATATGCAAAATGTTCATTTAATATTGGAGATTTGTTAATCACAAACCAATATTACAAGTTTAGCAGTAAGTGTAAAATTAATATGTAGATGCCAGTGTGTAGTATACGAGTGTGAGTGTGTGTGTGAAAGAAATAGTGAGTGTGTGTCGTTATTTTGCTTAACAGTTTGCATTTTTAACTATCTATATTTAATAATTTTACAGTTTCCTCGTAAGATAAAGACATTAAAACTTAGTTAGAGCTTGCTTATATTTGAAACATGTTAGTCGATCAGTAGGCAAAAACGTTGTTGCCCATAAATCAGATTCAATTTGGGATAGTTGCAAATTAAAGAAGAAGTTTTATTTACCGATATTTTCAAAAACTGCAATAACATTGTATCATTATTTATGAATTTAAGCTTAAGTTTCGAATTTGATTACTCTGAAAAATATAATATAATATGTATATAATGACAACAATATTTATCATTTTATTAGTCTGAACCCAAAGGGTGTAATAAAGATTGTTATACTAAGCCTACAATGTAGGGTCTTGCAAGCTTAGTATTACAGTCCAGACGGAATGTGACAGCCATGCATCCGACATCGTCGCGGCGACTATGGATATGTATACTGGCCGCTTAATAGAAGGTGATTCTAAGGTACAGAATTACATTTCTCAAACTTGCATAATACTAGAACACTACTAAAGGGAGACAAAATTTCTTTAGCAAAATTAGTTCTGTCTATTAAGTCATTACATGAGTTAAAAAAAGGAAAATAAAAATCAATACTGATTACAATATTTCAATTACCTATGTAAAAAAGGATAAAATAATATAGAAGATTTACAATTATGAATGTATTGATAATAACATGCACAATTAAAAACCCTAGCATGTCTACAATACCCAAGATAGCAATATTTGAATCAAAAACAAGTTAAATAATAAATAAGCTCATGTACACAAGACCAGAGTAAAACCAGCAAATAATAATTTCATTTTGATAATAATTGGTTGTCTATCTATCTATTACATTGATGTTAGTGTTGTTAGTCTATGCGACTTTATAGATATATATTAGAGAAATTTTATCTCTATATTATATGCTTGCAGTTACGACGTAAACAGAATAAATTTTATTCAAAACTACAAAACTTATTAAAGAATACTTGATTACAAAACTCATAAAGTAATTAATGCTTTTACTCGTTTGGGAAAAGCCTCTGTCCTATGTAGAAAACAAGCAAGAAGTCCAAACGGGCCATTTAAACAAAATGTTATTTAGAATATATTGTTTTACAATTAAATATTAAAACATTTAGAAACAACATTAATCACCCCATTCCCAGGGGTTTATCAATCGTATATTTTATTGTAATAACCTTATTTTGAACAACTTTGCTTAGTTAAAAATTTTCAGTTTTTGATAGGCTGTATATTTTATGACTTGTTATAAAAGCATATACTTTGCCCCATGAAGGAA